CCAGCCCGCCCCTTTCTCGACCAGTAAAGCTTAAAAGTTTAAGTACTGACCTTCCTGGTTTGTCGTTGTAGAGATACTGGGCTACAAATCGTGGTAATATCCCTCTGAAGAATGCATAAAACAGAGATAGTTCTTGATATTTGAGGTGGTTCGTTGAATGCAGTATAGCATTTTGTTTAAACCAGAAGGCCTCCATGAGGTCAGTATGTCCAGTTCTCGAAAGAATATGGAAGCCTATGGCCGGTAGTAGACTGGAGAACAGAACTGTGTGAATAAAGTGCTTGCCATTGGGGCCTTTCGTAAAATGCTCCTGCAGTTTTCGACGAAGCATTCGGCCTACATCAATAACTTCAGCCGTGACGAGACCAGAGGCGGCATCATACAGTGCGCCCGTCTGTATTGTCTTTCCGCTGGACGATGACGGTGCAAATCTGCGCATTCGCGCCGTTTTGTCTATCTTTTCCGGAGTCCGCAATGTCCGTATCTGTGGATACCATTTTTTCCGAAGCTTTGGCGTGCAGATCGGCAACACGGCGCGCGACTTCATCGTCCTCCAGTACTAGCATCACTAGCGTGACATGTATAATCATCGCGCATGCCAAGTTGAAAAGTAAAGCGCGATTATTGCGAGCATGTGATTGACTAATAATGTTCGCGATCTGCGCCTTCGATAACCCTGTACACGCCGCCGCCTCCTCGAGACCGAGCCCGTCTAGTAACTCCTTGCAAATGGAATACATGGCTTGCTTCTCAGTATGGGAGAATCCGGGGAACGGCACCAGCCATTCGTGTAAGGGTATATATCCGTTATTTCCTGCCGTGTCTTCACTGGCACCCGAACCACATCGACCTTTTTTTCCTTTCCGCCATGACTCCAACCATAACTCGCAGAACATCTTGTAGGACGGTTGATCGCCAGCCAAAACGACGTACCGAGGACAGTCTGGCCTTCCCGGTTTCAGCTGCTCAGCACTTAAATTCAGGAACCTTCTAACGGTTAGAATATCGGAAGCACTGTCCCTGCTGATCTCGACGTACACGACGTGTTGATCAATTTCAACTTTGGATGTGAGTTCTATGCCTCCGTGAGGTTTGAAGCAGGACAACAGAAGTGTTCTAAAATTAACAGGCGGACTGGACAGCTTGTATCCGAAATCCTTAGCTGTACTTGCGTTATATTCCGATAGTTGCTGCTCTACTCCCCCGACGAGCGCATTCTTAAACAGCGCAGTGATGCCCAGTGCGACGTCGTTGAACTGCTCTAGAATAGCCTGCTTATCTGGTGACGTGAAAGAACTTCCAAAGGCCTCTCTATCTCCGAGTAGCGTTGTTGGTAGCCAAGAGCTAACTTTCTCGACTTTCTGCCGCTTTTTTGCGGCGGAGCACCATCCTCCTTCTCTAACTTCCTTTTTTTGGTAACTGCCTGCATGAGGGACCCGTTAACTTTCGGCATGGCTTTCTGGTCCGCCTTTACAGAGTGTAAAGGTTTAATATCCCAGTTGTCGAACCGCAATGCGGGGATTGCAGAAGAGTCTACATGACTGTACTACCATGGACCCTTCCTCTCCTTCTCTGCGATAAGACTCTTTCTATATCTGTCCGTAACGTTGTAAGAAAGAAACATCCCCATGGCATTAAGGACACTGACGTAGGACGGGCTTACTTCACATATCCCAGCGATTGACGTACTGACAGTGAGAGGTCCGGCAACTCCATTACTTCTTGAAAGAACCATCTGCTCTATTACCTTCAGTACACGCACACATAAAAGCAAGTCAGTTCTGCAATACTCCGACTCTCCATTTAGCGCATCTTCAATTGATGGGTGCGGAAGCACTTCCAGATCATTACAAACTGGAAACAAATCGACTAAGCGCCTCCCGGAGGCATTTGCAGCCACTTTCCAGGAGCTAATCCGCTTTTGAGAAGTCATCATAAGCACTGTGTCTGTCCAGAGAGCCGTGGAGACTGCAGACACTTCTGTTGACAAGGACCATGTTCCATTCCAGTACATATCCTTTCTCTGCCCAAAATGTATACCACAAATATCCAGAGATGATCTTATTTCTTTGCAGCTCGGCCGAATCCAGTCTGTAGAGGTTACTTCCCTACTGGAAGCCACCAATGCTGCAAGCATGCTCTCGACCGCATTTGCTTTCACGTACACACGCAGTCTTGAACTTAGCTTCTTCAGTATTACACCATTACCAGCAAGAACTCCCTCCACTCTTTTCTCAACAGTTCTGCGATCAATGGCGGAGTCTCCCGCGACAGAAGATGTATCGTGCAGACTTCCAAGCCGGTTTCTTACCCGTACAACCTCCGAAAATGGCAGCATTCTCAGGGTTTTCTCAGCCTCAGAAGAGAAAGTTTTGCAGCTCATTCGGAGCTGCCTCGCTACAGAAGTAAACTCATATGCACAGGAGCTACTGTGAAGCGCTGGTCGTTCGGCCTCCGCGTCAGATGCCAGACTGAACATAATGAAACGGACAAGCCATCTTTCGATGGGAGATGAAAGCTCTGCGACAGTGCAGATTGGTTTTTTTCCACTCTTTCCTTCCGTTATAATATATAAGCAGCTTCGACAGCTGTACATACCAATCACTTCTGAAGCTGTTATTTGGCCATTAGAGTGCTTTCTAACGTTCTCGTAAAACTGTGAGAGCTGTTCTACATCATGAAGGTTCGCTACTTCTCTTGTCCCTACTTTCCAAAGGCGACCCTTTCCATGCGTACTGTATTGAAAAGAACAGCCGTTACCTATAAAAACACATCGAGCACATGAATTAGCCTTGTGGAGCTGTCTTGTACTCTCTTGTGATATTCTACTGTGATTGAGATGAACGTAACATAGGTAATGAATAGAAGAGTTGGAGAGGAGCTTTTCAACGGTCCCAGTACTAGCACCAGATAATCGGCACATTTCTTCTACGAAAGACGTCCGCACAGATTGTGTATCAGAAGACACGTTCATCAATGTCCAGTCACGAGTTGGGTTGCGTTTTCGGTGCGCTCTACTCCCCTGCTCTTCTCTCTTTAAGTGTTGTTTCGTATCAGTGTGACTACAGACGAAGCAAAGCTTCTCATTTCTGTGTCGCTCACTTTTCGAACATCTTTGATTCCAGAGACGGAGCGCTTTAGCTGTATTGTTGCTGCCGTACCGCCGGCGGTTACATATAACTTGCCAACCACTGCTTCTGTCGCGACAGGCTGTGCATAAGTACACCGTTGCTTTTAGATTAGAAGAAAGAGCAGCAAAGGGGTTTTAAATTACACCAGTGTCGACTGACGCTCTTGCATGAATCTGGTTTTCATCCAGCGAAATTGCCAAGCTTGGCTTGCGATTGTCTTGGGTTCTACAGGCAAAACAGGGCGGAGATTTGAGCTCACCTGCGAAAGGGTCGGGCAAAACGCTGTCCGCATGTACCATACTTAGCCCCTTTCTCGTTTTGAGGGCGCAGTAGCCTAGAGAACTCAATTATGAAGGGCTGTGGCTATGTGTAGAGGATGTCGCTTCTCGGTAAAGGACAAAGATCGCGAACCGAAAGTTGGGCTGACGGAGCACTCTCGAAAAAGCGGCCTCACCGGCTCGCGGGGGTCGTTTTGTAGCTGGGTTGTTCACAGCTCAGCAGGCCCAAAATTTTATCATATCGGCAAAAATGTCGAATGAAAACAGGGTGGTCACCGACTGTTAGGAGTGAAGTTCAGGCTGAACTTCAGGGCTAGTGTGCATGTGCTTACACCCTATGACAGCGCGTGAGCGCATGACAGCGCGTGAGGGTGTTTTGTGTTTTCATTTGTTCTACATACAGTAATAGGGATGACTGCCAGCGGTCTAGGAACATATTTGTGTCAGACCCATTTTGTTCCGTATTTTTGTCCCCACATACTGTAATAGGGTTGCTCTAAATACAGTACTGGGGTGTAGTTATTCCAGCAGAATTATTGATCATGCGATGCCATGCGAGAAACCCTGGTTGCGGGCAGCAATGAAGGCGACGCTCTCTTCTCTCCCCGAAGTGAGGGTGTGTCTTAACATGCCCCGTTTTGCTGCGGTTTGCTTTGCCTTGCCCAAAGAAGTGACTTGGCGTGCTATGAGTGGCTCCTACGTTTTAATTTATGTGTTTAAGAAAAGCAACGGCTTAAGAAGCATACGGTATTTGTTAAGAATTTAAAAGTATTCCTGGCAAAACCGGGCAAGGCAAAGCAAAAACCAGCCTGTTAAGACACGCCCTGAGGGCGTGTCTTAACAGGCTGGTTTTTGCTTGAGATGACGAAGCCGAGTGTTCTCACCTTTCGAGATTTAACAGGGCCTCTGCTTGCCGCCTGTTGAGCTATTCCCTCAAATATTAGGACGTCGAGGGCAGACAAAAAGTTCTTCCCGGCACAGGAGGCATGTCTCTACATGGAAATCCAAACGAACAAGAACCTGCACCTACCGTGGAGCTTGAATCTCGCCACACTGACGGTCACTCCTTCAACGCAGAACTCTTTGTCTCTGGTTCCGATGCATCTTCCATAGCAAAAATATTTTTTTCGGTGTCAAAAGAGGTTGGCAAAATCACCATACACGACGGGCATCCAGAGCTGCAAGTCTTACATACCGCCGGAAGCGGAAAATGGACACTGTGTTCTGGGACAGAAACACTGGCTGTTGCCTCAAAGAAGCAGTTCTGGCGTCGAAATTTCGTTATCTCCACCCAGGGCGACGACTTCGTCATGTCTCCGAGCAGCTTTTCAGATCGCGATTTCGAAGTGAAATGCATCTCTCGTCGTGGCATGTTGTCTAGGAAGGGCGCGTCCGGACAATTAGTTGGAAGGCTTATTGCTGGCCCCGGGGAGAGCAAGACATATCGGCTTACATTTGCGCAGGACGTCAATATGGTGGTCATTGCCTTTTGCTTATGGCTGGCTAACTTGATGAACAAGCGGTATGATACGATGGTGCAGGCCAACTTGCTGTCTTTGTAGCATGATAACACTTAGCCCATCAAACAAACTAAAGGTAATAAGGTATGTATATTAAACGTAATCAGGTAGTATCAAAGCTCATTTCTAGTAGGTGTTCGCCCTCGTATGTCTTCATCATACCCGTCTTCAGACATATGGGCAGGCCTTCGCATTGTTACAGCCTTCCACCAAACCCCCTGACATACCGATCATTGTAAAATCCACCGTAGCGGTTGTTGCTGACTTCTCTAACAACTTTTGCAATTTCTGAAAGTTTTGGAAGTTTTTCAAACTCCCCAACAACTTCAACGCTCATGTCTGGCTTTTCCAGGTAGGCAAGCCAAGGCTCGGGAAAACTTCTGAAAACGTAACCTCTGGTGACTCTCTTCAAAAAGTATACGGGCTCAGTGCCCTTCAACACACCGTTTCTGGGCCCGGTGAGGCCATACGTCTCATTGAACTGAGAATTCAAAAACACCACGACTCCTTCTCCACCCTGCGGCAGCAGTTTTGCGCCCTTCACCCACGCACTGGTGTCCCTGGGGTCCAAGATCATAACCACATCATCCTTCCCGATTTCGCCCTTCTTCGGCGGATTTCTAACAGACCCCGGTCTCACATTCTCCAAATATCCTTCCGCGCGGTTCTTGCTAACGTCATCGCAACTGAGTGCCCACACGGTTCTGTCCCGGAACGATTCGCACGAAGCAATTCGTTTTGCCCAGTACAAGTTACAAAACTGTGCCAAGTAGCGCTTGATGAGGGGATAATCTGACTGGGTAGCCATACCCAGGTTGCGGGATACCTGTTTGCCGAACTCGAAATTGAGTTTGGTGCCGGCTTCAATCTCCTCCAAGTTGGGGACGGTAGGCCACTGCAGTTCCATTTTGCGCACACCGGAGCTATATGCCCTGTCGACAGCGCAGCATGCTTGCGAGGCTAGCTCGTGGTCGGGCTCGAACCAGGCGTCGTAGAGCTTGGGCATTGATACTGCGGGGGCAAGGGAGGATTCCATGTGGTTTTCGGATGATGCGGTGATTCCTTCCGGGGCGGTTTTTTCAGATGACGTCTGGGAGGAGCCATTTTCTTGAGCAGAGACAGCAGATTGACGTGGTCGATAAGACGGAATCGAAGCGATAGAGGGAGATTGGCGACAAAGAAAGAGCCGGCATTGATTTCTATGCAATGGATGGAAACCTTGAGGCAAGGGAATAGCAAAGGCCATCGCAGAGGGTACGAGAGATCTAGACCTGGACGAAGAAGCAATCATCTAGAAGGGGTTGCCATGACAAGGGAAGACGCAGTTTCTCTCTCGGCGTAACCTGTCGATAGGGGCAGATAGGCTTCACTCTTGCTCCTATGCAATTCCGATAGACCAGGTGACAGAAAGGATGAACGGCCCACAGTGCTCAACGCGTGGTCAGATATTTCCATGCGCCGTGCTTTGTGGACATTCAATGTGATATTTTTCAGAGTTCTGAGGCTCAACGTGTACACATGTACACGGGGCGAGGTCGGCCATGTCTGTCCCTGTTTCCATGAGTGCGTTGGTGCCCTTACGAGAGAAGCGGGGACATTGCACATTGAGGGACACTCGCTCTTCGCATCAACTTATCGGTCAGTCCCGTGCTCCTAGGGTGGCGACCTCACGGCAGCTGTCCCCCCCTTCTGTGCCGCGTCCATGCCTCAATGCTTCCGTTCCATGACCAAATTCAGCGCGATGTTTCCCGCGCGGACAGCCTCGTCGTGCTGGGACGTGGTCTCGGCATGTGCCACGCTGTTTCTCGTCTCATAGTCTCTCTCCTAACGCCTTCCTCGCTCATTGTCGCTCTTAATGTGCCTCGTTCCGTCGCTAAAGAGGTCTTGTACCCAACCTTATCCACCCTTTCCCATCTTGTACCCGCTGCAAACCGTCCGCTTCTTCTGCCACGCTTTATGTCGTCCGATTATAATGCAAAAGACCGCACACTCATATACGAAGCCGGTGGTTTCGTCGTTGTGACATCAAACATTTTGGTTCACGACCTGTTGCACAATGCCATTCCAGCAAAGTCAGTCGCTGGCATTGTTGTATATGCCGCGGATTCGGTGCGAGAGTCTAGCAATGAGCACTTTGCCCTCAAGCTGTACCGCGCCAGAAATCGCGACGGCTTCGTCAAGGCCTTTTCGGAGAACCCAATTGCGCTCACGAGAGGGTTTCATCACGTCGAGAAGCTCATGCGAAACCTCTATGTGTCGAGGTTATGCCTGTGGCCTAGATTTCATGCGTCAGTCAAGGATTCTGTGTCGGGTCATGTTCCGGATCTTGTTGATCTCGAAGTGCCTCTGACGTTTCGGATGAATGCGTTAGTGAGTGCTCTACGCGATTGCGTGCAAGCTGTCATTGAGGATTTGAGAAGGGCTACGCGCGAAGTAGACTTTACAGACCTTTACCGCAAGGATGAGGACGGGAAAACGGTTCTTGTTTACAATTTTGATACAGCTGTAAGCCGGCAACTTGAGGGCGCTGGTGTGAGAGTTGCGGGAAGGGTGCGCAGTTTAGTGGCAGATCTAACTGCGTTGAGGCCGTTACTGAGCGATGTGTTTGAACTCACTTCTGTGGTGTTTTATCAACGCCTTGTCACGGTCCGACATGCTGCAGAGAAAGGCACTGGATGGCTTCTCAGAAAGGAAGCGCAGCGTGCCGTGTTCTTGGCAAGGTCCAGGGTGTGGATCATTCGCAAGGCTGGACAGGTTGGGCAGGTGGAAAGCAATACAGTTGGTGAGGGAAGGGCTGCAGAATTGAACGAAGGGAATGGGTCTGGTCTTCGTACGGTGTTGACACTTGAGAGCAGTCCCAAGTGGAAGGCGTTGAAGGATGTACTTCAGGAGATTCAGGGTGATGTCGATGCTGCGGGGGAGGAAGCCGATGTGGGGAGGGTGCTCGTCACCGTCAAGGAGCCTCGCATCGCGGATGAATTGCGCGCTTTGTTGAAAGATGGCGAGCATGCTGTTTTAAGGCGTCAGTTCGAGGGATCATTTCCAAACGTGGCGGAGCGGGTGAGAGAGAGTCAGGAATTGAGTGCAGCGAATGGTGGGATGCATCAAATGACGATGACCCAGATTGTAAATCCAGACCGCCCACGGGGAGGCCGCCTTGAACAGAAGAGACATGAGCCCAGGAGAACAGGAACAACGCGAAAGAGGAGAAGAACAAATGGTGGAGAGAAGCCTTCATCAAACATAGGGGCATCAGAGGACAGAGCTATCGAAATTCTTCAGGAGGTCTTTCGAGAGATCAAGTCACATAGGTCAACTCGAATTGAAGTTCTCATTTGGTGTCGGGAATGGGTAGACTTGCAGGGGAGGGGACATCGAATACTCGAGGAGTATCACCCATCATTTATTGTTCAGTACAACACAGACTCAGCTGTCGTGAGAGAGGTGGAGATGTTCAAGGCTGCTCATCCGGGACGTCCAGTGCGCATGTATCTTCTCAGCCACGCAGACGTAGCTGAAGAAGAACGATTTAGAAGCGGCTTGCGCCGTGAGACTGCCGCATTCAAATCATTAATACGTGAGCGAGCCTCTATGACAATCCATGTGGATCAGGAGGGTCGACAACCGGAAGAGGAGTTTACCCAAGCCATTTTGGACCAGACTGCAGAAGCGGGGCAGCTTACTGGGAGGCGCGGGCTTGGAGTCGATCGGGACTCCCGAAAATTGGGGTCTGTGAAATCAGATAGGAAGAACGTCGCATCTGAAGGTAAGGTTTTGGTCGATACGAGGGAGCTACGGAGTGCTCTTCCAATGCTTCTGCATCAAGCGAACATGAGGATTGTTCCGTTAACTCTCGAAGTTGGAGACTTCATTCTTTCCAAGAATATTGGGATCGAACGTAAATCCGTTCCTGATTTGTTCGGATCCTTCGCATCTGGACGACTATTTAAGCAGGCGGAGGCGCTTTGTCGACACTACAAATACCCATGTTTGCTCATTGAGCTCGACAGAACAAAATCGATATCATTGACCGCCACTAACGGGTACGTTCCGGCTACTATCTCAGCAACATCAATTGTGAGCAAAATGGTGTTATTAATTCAGCAATTTCCTACGTTGCGTTTGCTGTGGGCTAAAGGACCGCACGATGCTGCTGAGATGTTTGCATCTTTGAAAGAAAATGAAGAAGAACCAGATGAAGAAGTGGCTGCTGGCCTTGGAGTCGATACGAAGGACGCTGTGGATGAAACATTTAACGCTGGCCCAAGGGCTTTACTTCGAAGTCTACCTGGCATCGACAGTCAGAATATTGAAAGAGTGATGCGGAACGTTCGAAACGTATCTTCGCTAATTTCGATGTCCAAACGGGAATTGACGGACCTTCTGGGTGGTACTGGAAAGGCTACGCAGTTGTACAATTTTGTAAATGAGCAACCGAGCGAGGCGTTGGCGGCTCTACGGTGATCGAAACGAATAGCAATCAGTCCGAACGGGGGGCTTTAACTGCAGGCACTGAGATGTAAAGATACGACCGTGACCGCAGTAACTCGGACCCGATCCTAGTGTAGATGCGCTATATTCTGAGTCTGTAACTACGGGCAATGATGCAGTAGACGTGGGGAGTGAAATCAAGTAGAAGGCCATAGGTGAGGCACGGACTTTAGAAACGTTTCGCATTTACATACACAAGCTACGACGAAGTGCGCAAGGCGCCAACGCGTACGCAACTCCACGCTATTCAAAGTGAATATCGACAGCACACGCGGGACAAGGCAGCCCCGACGCACGTTCTCAACTAGCCAGAGCCTCTCAACGCACACAGTTGACAAGAACGGCAACAACGTCGCAGGCGAAAGCGTCGAAAGCAAGAACTCCTCCAAAACGCGAGCTACTCGAAGGGAGCTTAATCGAAGAGATCGAAATCCATCTCCTCCTCTTCTTCTTCGGACTCCTCCTTTTCCTCCTCAGCGGCTGGGGCATCTTCGGCGGCAGCGCCTCCGGTAGCGCCGGCCGCAGCGCCGCCTGACGGAACGGATGAAAGCTTGCTCTTACCCTCCTCGATCACCTGCATGACATCCTTGCCTTCTAGCTCGCCCAAGACCCTTGAAAGAACAGTGTCGTCGATGTCGACACCGGCAGAAGAGAGGATCTTCTTGATGTCATCACCGGATGGTGAGGCGTTTCCGCCGAGCACCGCAAGCATGTAGGCACCCAAGTACTTCATTGCGGAATGCGGTTGAGAAGAGAGAAACGGGAGGGAGACGGAAGGTTTGAGTGCGTGTTGGGCGGTGGGGCGCGGCAATGACGAAGGGTATGAAGAGCGTGCGTGTACCAAGGGCTCTAGAGGGCGATGCTATCGCGGCGACGTCAGTGTGGAAAATGGATCACACTAAATCATTTTTCTCGAAAATTTTTGGGAGTATTTGCAAGCCTGAAATCGGATCACGCCGATGGTCAGATCCACGTCCCATGGCAAAGCGTCGCCGGCGTCCATAAGGTATCATAACCAATCGCAGCATAGCTCGCCCCGCGGTTCGCATGCGATAGTGTACACCGTCGCTTAGGTTGGCTCCGTTCCGCTTTGCACTAATCACCGTTTCCATCCCAATAGTTCCAGGCCGCTTCTTTCTACAACCTTGCAACCATGCCGGCGAAATTCGACCCCACGGCTGTTACTGTCATTTATGTCAGAACAACCGGTGGAGAGGTTGGCGCCGTCGCCTCCCTTGCCCCGAAGATTGGTCCCCTTGGGTTGGTACGTTCACTTCTGTCTGCTATACAACAACGGCGGATACGGAAACGTTATCATCTGCGCGCGAACATTTGCGAATGAATGTCGACATTGGCATTGATGAGCCACGACATGCGGTCAAATCCGCAAGAAGAATTAATGAAAGAAACGCTAACCATCTCGTGCCGTGCGTTGTTTTATACTCATTCGGTTTGATCACATATCTTGCGCTTTATCTGGTCTTGCTTCACGCACTCCTGAATCACAGAGTCCCAAGAAGATTGGAGATCAATTGGCCAAGGCCACGAAAGAGTGGAAGGGCTTGCGCGTTATGTGCAAGCTGTCAGTGCAGAACCGACAGGCCAGCGTTGAAGTAACCCCCTCCGCGGCTTCCATGGTGATTAGGGCGCTCAAGGAGCCACCCCGCGATCGCAAGAAGCAGAAGGACGTTCCTCATGACGGAAATGTTAGCCTTGATGCCATCGTTGAAATTGCCAAGCAATGTCGCGCACGCTCTCTCGCCAAGCACATGAGCGGCACGGTTAAGGAGGTGCTCGGTACCGCTCAAAGCGTTGGTTGCACCGTTGACGGAGAGCCTCCCCATGATATCATTGATAAGATTAACGAAGGCACTGTTCAAATTGAGGCCTATGATGTTGAGCGGCCAGATGATGAGGAGTAGAATTGGGTGCAGTAAACTGATTTTGGTCAGTTGGGCCAGTGTGTAAGTTTCTTGTTTATTCTCTTCAATTGAGAGATGGGCCCGCAGATTCAGTGATGGAACAAGAGTGTTCTCTCCACCTAGCGTTCTGCTGTGGCAGAAACGTATGCTGCGCTAGTCTCGCATGATTGTAGATGTACTGAGGGCGACGGACGTCGTTCCTGACATAAAGTCTCGGAGGCGAAGCTGAGGCGAATGCTGAATGCTTGCCGATGGGCTGCAAGGGGCGCGCTGATTTTACATTGTTTTAGCGAGGTAAGCAAGACGGAATCCCAAATTTGATTGGTAAGTGGGTTAGACAGGTGGGACGTATTCTCCACTTTCGATCTTCTTTTCTAGATCAAATAGAAAGCCATGAATGTATTCCTCTGTCCATTCCTCTCCGTAAAAGCGCAGAAACATGCCTCTGGCGGGATCCTTTTCTGCGCGATACCTCAAGTACGCTATCTGGCTGTCCCGAATCTCGGCCAACTTCGCTGGATCCGTGACTGGCTCTGCCTCTGCCACCATGTCAAGATAACCATGCAAATAGTCCTTGAAAGCCTCAAAGACGTGCGTCTCCACCACTTCATCTTCCTTTGGCCTCGACCACAAGAAGATGGGTGAGAAGAACTTGGCCGCTTCAACTGGAAAGTTTCCACCCCAGGGCAAATTCTGCTTGTGCTTCTCAAACGCACCCTGTAGCGGCTGTGCATACTTTTGGCGATACTCGTCGGTATGAAACAAAGGTTGCATGTCCATAGCAATGAGGTGACCGCCAGGCAGGGTGACCAAATCGGCGCCGAAGAACGGGAGATCGTAATTCATGCCCGGCATCATGACAAAGTTGAGGACTTGCAGTAGAGCGCCGCCTTGGACGTGGGCGGTGCGGATCTGGCGCAGCTTGTCGGTGCTATACGCGTAGGAATCGGTGCGCACGATCCCGGCGCGCTTGCCTTTGCCGACCATGGCTTCTTTTTGCTCGTAGCCCTCGGGGATGGTATAGGGCTTCAAATCCAGACGAGATTCCAGCACTTTAGTGGCGTAGTTCCAGAAGGGCGTGTAAATGTCTTTGACTTCCTTTTTCGGTTTTGGCTGCTTTGCGGCCGCCGAAGGCTCGGCGGCTGTCATCCGAGTGGGGCATTTGGAGGTGGTGGGCAGGGCGCTGAGACGGGAAAGGGGGGCGGGGGTGGTGAAAGCGAGCATGGTGGGGATAGATGGGGGGACACTGGTTCTCTGACGGATGGGAGTTGTTGGAGGTGAGCTGAAAAAGGGCCAATATGCAAGAGGCGATGTAGAATACGAAAACGATGAAGAAGGCCGTTAGGGAAGGGGGAGATTGCAGTGGATCACTGACCCAAAAATATCTGAGGAAGGGAGGTGTGGTACACGATGGCAACGCGCACACGTGTGAATATCGTAAATGCACAGCCAATCACAGTACGCTGCTATGAGAGGGCACGTTCGGATCCAATATCCAACGCAGCGCACCTGCCTGCCTATAGGAGTTTAACAAGTCGTCGCTATGTTCAGGGCAAGGCTCAAGTTCCGAGTATGATTGTCTGTGGTGTGTGAAGGCGGCGGCGTAGAGGACAGAGATTTGTTCATCCAGCATTGAACTTTTTGACTAAAGAGCAAAGCATCTTAGTTTGAGACAGCCCAATCTCCCAACAACGTTACCCCGACATCCATCATCCCTCGCGTGCACAGAGCTGAGCCATTCGCGGAAATCAGAGCCCCCATCAAGAATCAAGCTCGCGTCTTTCCTTCACAGCAACAATGGCGCTGGACATGGTCGCGTCGAAGGCCACAGGAGCTCCTGCCACAGCATCGCCAGGCACCCCCTCGAAGCCTCCTTCTTCTCCAGATCCCCCGAAAACTTTTGCTTCGCTTGGCCTGTGCCCCGAGCTGGTGAGCACGTGCGAAGCGATGGGCTACAAAGCCCCCACGGACATCCAATCGGCCTCCATTCCGCACGCGCTCGAAGGCCGCGACATCATCGGTCTGGCGCAAACGGGGTCGGGCAAGACGGCCGCCTTTGCGCTTCCCATTCTGCACGCCCTGCTCTCCACGGAGGGCAAGCCGCCCGCCCCGTTCGCTCTCGTCGTGTCGCCCACGCGCGAGCTGGCCTTTCAGATACACGAGCAGTTCGAGGCCCTCGGCGCCAAGATTGGAGCACGGAGCATCGCCATCGCCGGCGGCGTCGACCATATGGCGCAGGCCGTCGCCCTCGCGAAGAGGCCGCATGTCATCGTGGCCACCCCTGGGAGGTTGGTGGATCATTTAGAGAACACCAAAGGCTTTTCTTTGCGTACCGTCAAGTTCTTAGTATTGGATGAGGCCGATCGAATTTTGACTATGGACTTTGAGAAGGAGCTGGAGAAGATTGTGACCGCTTTGCCGCATGATAGGAGCTCCTATTTGTTTTCCGCGACCATGACGTCCAAGGTCAAGAAGTTACAACGTGCTTCGCTGAAAGACCCGGTCAAGGTGGAAGTGTCGGATAAGTACTCGACTGTTGATACACTTGTGCAGAACTACGTCTTCATCCCGGAGAAGTACAAGGACTGTTATTTGGTCTTTCTTCTCAGTGAGTTTGCGGGAAACTCCGCGATCATTTTCGTGGATACACAGCGACATGCGCAGAGAATCGCCGTCATGCTTCGATCACTCGGGTTTGGAGCCGTTTGCATTCACGGCGGGATGGCTCAACCCAAACGATTGGCAGCTCTAACGAAGTTTAAAGCTGGGGAGAGGACTATTTTAGTCGCAACTGATGTTGCCAGTCGAGGTTTGGATATTCCCAGAGTTGACCTCGTCATGAACTATGATATCCCCAACAATGGTAAGGACTACGTGCATAGGGTTGGACGCACTGCTCGTGCAGGGCGCGCCGGTCGCGCTCTTAACCTAGTTTCCCAGTACGACCTTCACAACTATAGAGATGTCGAGGAGCTCATCGGGAAGAAACTTGACGCATATCCTCTGGAAGAATCAACGGTGCTGATGATGTTGGAGCGTGTTGGTGAGGCTCAGCGAATTGCGGTCGCAGAGCTGCGAGAGTTGGACGAGAAACGGAGAGGTCGTAAGGGAGGAAAACGGCGGGGACAGGCTCTAGATGACGAAAATGCACTCTTGACGGAAGCTGTTGGGGCTGATACGGCATCTTATTTGGAGGAGAGGACAAGACATAGTGGATCCCGCGGACAGAAACGGCGGAGAAAAGTGAGATCATGAGGCTTCTATTTGAATTCAATCTGCTTTAAAGAAAGTCTGATTAACTACAGACTCTTTACAAAATAAATTATTCAGTTCCTACAACTACAGGATCGAGAGGCATAGCTCGGATGGTTGCTGCCACGAAGGAAACAAACGGAAGCTACTGCATCGAGGTACTCTCATACATCCAAGAAACTGTCTCTGACAGGAACTGGAAGCCATGGAAGCGTGCGACACTCTCAAGAGCGTGCAACTGCTTCCGGAAATCTCTGTGGCTCACGGATAGTTGGAACGGCGATCCACTGCAGTTGCAGTGCGTACCCATGTTATCTCGTTTGACCATGCGACAACGCATGCACTTGAGGTCTTGCACTTGGTATGCTGTGTACATCTTCTGTGCACTCCGCATCAAGTCAAGCTCAATTTGCCGCATGTCGTAGCGATTGCCACAGTACTCGCATGCCCAAAGCGACTTCGAGTCATGCCGTGTTTCCTCCCCTTCTTGTGATTGGCTTGGGTCTGTCCAAAGTCTTGCGTCACGAGCAACGTCCAGATCCACAACAGCATTGCAGTACGTGCAAATGACATCTCGAAGAGGCACAGGAAGGGCAGGATCTTTGAATTGAGCTTCCTTAGCAAATTCGCGAACACCCAGCAAGCGTAATAAACTTCGGCGCATGCCGGCGACCTCTTCAGAAGCCGCCGGATCCAGACCGAGGACGTAGCATAATGAACGCACGAACTCCAAGGCGGGGTTCCGATGTCGGTCGGTCGCGTTGAGAATTGAGGGGACAGACGGGAAAACGAGTGTGGGCGTCTTTTCTCTGATTTCATGAATCTTCTCCAGCAGTTGTCCGGTGAGGTTTCGCGTGAAGTCTTGCACTTCGTCCGCGAAGCCATCTCCCCTTGGACGGAAGTGCTTCTTCTGAAGATCTGTCGCGCGAATTTGCTGCTCTGACAAACCATCTGAAGCAGGTGTGTCACTCACCATTTCTATTGAACCCGCTTCGTTCTCAATCGCTCGGAGCCGGACTACCATAGGGCGTCGGATAAATTCTTCAACCACCTGTGTCCACAAAACGGCAACTGGAATAGGTAGGTATCTTGCCATGTCCCACATCATCCGAGCATAGGGAATTTCACGACTGGCACAAGTTCTGCGAGTGACGGCATTTTTTGAAACTGTTTGTCCGAATTCTCCACTCAAAATCGAAGCCTCCTCTGGAGCTGGTAATGCACCATAATTGAATCGATCAACAAACAAAAGTCCAGAGTAAACCCCAATGAGTGGTTCAAAGTGCACATGTCGAAACAAAGGCTTACTCTTGACAGTCTTTTCCAGGAAACCTGCGTATCGCAACCCATCCACCGTTTGCGTTTTTGGGGTAGCCAGAATGAGTCTTGACATAGAGGCGAATACAACGGTTGCTCCTAAGTCTTTCAGCTCTCCCACAAGTTGTCGAAAAACTTTCGTGATCAGCCATCCCAGGAATCGAGCGAGGGCAGGATCGTAGAGCATCGACGATTCTGATCTTGTCCAACGCAGTAGGTGGTCCAGTAGACCCCTAGAAATGTTTGCAACATGTGGATTAGTCTCACTCGAAGCTGCTTTGTCCCATGAAGCCACAAGATCCTTTATAATGCGGAAAGCTGGTGCCGAGGCAGCCATTTCATCAAGAAGGGCTGCCTTCCTGCCTCCAATAGTACCTTCTTTTCCAGACTCACCGCCAAAGTTCTTGGAGTTCTTTGCAACTTTAGCGACACCGTTGGCAGCCGCATCAAAGGCCAGATCAGTTCCTTCCAACTGATTCACGTGGGAGGATGACAAAATGGTGGCAATTGTGAGATTTGAAAGTTCCGTATCGATGCATATCGTCCGATATGACCCTGGTGAAGAGACCTCCGGCACAGACGGTATTTCGTGTTGAAGGTTGCTATCATCTTCTTCGAAGCCACCCAGATCGGGCTGCGGCGAATTTGAAGCCCAGAGAACGTGATCACGGTTCAATAGCTCTCTGCCAACAAGAACATCCAACGCCTGAGAGTATACATCAGTGGATGACATGTTTCCAAGAGGGATTCCAGCAAACCGAGAGAAGTGGATGTGACTCGGGAGCCAGTTGCTGATCTCAGTGAAACGACTAAAGGCTAGGGAGATAGCACTGGACTCCCATCCAACTGGCATGTAGTCCCCATCATCTGCATTGCTAGCGATAGTGACGACCGGATATGACTTGGCAAGAGGAACACAGACCTCTAAACTCCCAAGGGACAATCGAGATGAACCACCTCTGTTTGTCCCGGCACCGAACATTTCTTCTGAGGCAGTAGACACATCCAAGTCAGGCCACTGCGAAAGAAGTAGGGTTCGTAGACCAGTTTTGCGAGACCGCGTCGCCATCGAAGATCCGTTGCGAATCCTCGACAGAGCTTGCTGAATTTCCGACCAGGCTTCCTTCCTTGTTCGCACCCCCCTGGTTGTAAACGTACAATCAGACGGCAGCGTCGACTGTATGGCATCTTTATCTGGTGTGGGGTGGTCATTCCCGTCGCTGCTCTGATCCCTCTTTTCTTCTGAGACGCGCTTCCAGATTCGTTTGAGGTTTACAGAGAAGTTTGCGCTTGGCCTGACAGCAACCACATGCACTAGCTTCGCGGCAGGAGCAATGACAGCATAAAGGGCTCTCGAGCTTCCATCCAGCGCATGTGAGCCGTATACGAAAGCCTGGTTTAAGACAGTCTTTGCGTCTTCTTTCAAAGAGTCTTTCAAATAGGGAGCTGTATCAGGACCCTTTGACACGATATCGTTCAGGGTCAAACCCTTTCTCAGCAGGTCCTTTGACTGCATCCTCGAGACAACTGAGCGTTTCGGCACACAGAAGGTTCCGAGAGCAAGGACAGTCTCGTAATCGAGAGGTGCTTGAGCACCAAAAACCCCATCTAACACACCAGCATCGGTAAGGGTAGAAGTCAAATCCTTATCGGTTTTCTGGAAGCGGTCTTCCTGGAGCTCTAGCCGGAACAGATAGTGTGCTTCGCGCGACCGTGGAAGTGCAAGACCGGGAACCAGCTCAGCTGAGACCCCCGGAATGTCTGGAGGTGTCTCAACTCTGGAGTTATAGTACAGAACTCGTTTCACATGTAGAGGGATGCTGTGTAGATCTCCAGTCGCATACTTGTTACCGTCCTTCTTAACTGGCAAAACCCAAAGCTGGTATTCACCAGGCTTGCCGTGAACTGGGGAAATTGACACATTTTGCCAAACAACTCCCCTGCCTAGCAGCGAAACTGACTTTTGTAAGAAGCCCATCGAAGAGCCGCGACACGTGTCTGTAACAAAATTCTTCGGAACGTAGTCTGGAGGAGATGTCCAGCCTACCTTACGACGTTTGCGAGCAGATTCGATTCCAAACCGAACTGCAAATGATGCCCCACCAAGCTTACCTTCATTCGCCTCAGCTTCGCAATTTGCTTCTTCTTCTGGCTCGTCTTCCATCACCGCTTCACTGTGTTGCCTCTTCAACCCGCTGCGGTACACGCGAGCGGCACGCTGCGCCCGCCAAATGTTCTTCGCATATCGCAGCCAGCCAGCATAATCATCGTGTTTGTTCGGATGAGGTTGATGAAAGAGTTGTAGCAGATGGTCTCTTGTCTCTACCTCACGTTCCATTGGATCCGACGCCCTACTCCGGAATGCGAGTCGTATGCCCTTCGCTCGAGACTTCTTGGACATACGTGAAGCCGCGTTTGCTTCACGTACACGTCTAGTGACAACGGCTCGCGCTTTCCGATTCGCAATTTTCGCAGCTGTCCAAGAGCTGAGTGGCATGTCTTCGATGTCATCCATGCTAAGCTTCTCAGTGTGAGTGATGTTGTCCAATAGCGAATTTCGGACTCCTGGTATGGCCTTCTCGCCCTTGGGCATAGATTTGAAGAACGACATAACAGACTGCTGCTTCCTCTTGTCTCTGAGCTCACGGCACTTCTTCACGAGCCAAGCGGGGTATTCCACCCGTGGGACTGGGTTGTCGACGGCCTGAAGAGCAGCTGGAATAGTAACAATCTTGAGAATCGCATTTGCGAGACGGCCTTTGTAATACTCCCAGTCTAGGAGGTTGCGAAGTTTCAAGTTTTCATCATCTCCATTCTTGGTCCACTTCCTAAGAAGTTTTCGCTTCACAACTTCATTTGGGAAGTCAAAGATTTTCACAGGGATCGCTCTGCCCGTTACCTGCGTCTCTTCCGGCTTTCGAGCAATCACGTAAGTGGCAGCTAGCCCTTTGTCCTTGACAATAGCAGAGCCCAAAAATTCCTTCAGTCGGGTTGCGCAAGTAATGGCACAACTTTTCTGCCCTGCTATGATATAGTCGCTCAAAGGCTTACTCATGTTGTTTTGCTCGACAAGGAGCTCAAGAATTCCAGCATCAGTCATTCCTTCTCCCTTCGTCGCCAAAACGTCAAACCACTTATTGCAGGTTTCCCCTACTTTTTCGTAACATTCTGATAGTGTGCGGCCCTCAAGGAACCTGCTGAATATTTCGCCCTGGAACTCTTTGATGAGTTTCAGCTCTCCTCTTCTCTTGATTTCGAACCCTTTCAGCTCCGCAAGGGACCCGTCATCATTGAAAACTGCATATCTCTTCTTGATAGTCTTCCCTTCTTCGAGAGAGGCCGGGAGCACCATGGCCTTGTACGGACCATCAACTTCAAAGAGAATCGAACATTCGCTTCGCTGTTCATACTCAAACGTGTCCTTGTTGACAAGGTCTTGATATTGGTGGTTTGTAAAGTTTGCTGCGACATCCGAGTTAAAGACAGAACAAATGTAGCTGATGGAATAATCCTTCCCAGACTTGGTTTGGAAGGTGAAGTTTTCTGGAAAAGATACTGGTAAAACACACCAAATACCATCTGTATCTAATTCAAGGGGCAGCCCAACCTTCTCGATGAATTCTCGAGCTCGTCGAATGATTAACCCGCCGGTGTTTGTCACAATCCCGGCCATTTCCATAGAATACCAACGGGCTCCTCGCCTCATCACGTAGCCATAAAACGAGTTCAGGATGCATTTGTGCGCCAGCTGAAGAGAGTCGTACAACACAACCAAATTATCCGTCCTTTTGATTTCCTCCGGATCGCCACCTTCCTTCGCTTTGCTGCGGAGCTTCTTCTGCTTCTTCAGAAGAGCTTTGTATTCATATCTTCGGTTCCGAAATGCACGAACAGTGTCGACATAAAACGGATTTTCTCTTTGGCAAACAGTTGCGGTTTTGTCAACAACTCTAGTCTCTTGCGTTTTTCGATAGTTGGTGCGGCAGTATTCCTTGAGTCGCTTTCGAAAATGAACGTTCTTGCGCGACTCTTCATCTTCGAAACTTGCGAGTCCGGCGCTGTCGGGGGCATTCTTCCTACCTCTCCGATTTGACTCTGGCTTCTTCCAACTCTTGCGCTGGTGGCCCCTCTCATGCTCCTGCAAGTTACGGCTCTCACCTTGGTCCTGTTGGCCTTCTTCTGCAGCTTGCAGCTCATTTTCCCGCTCCTCTTGGGCGACTCTCCGCTGAATCATCTCCGCTTCTCCTCGAGACGCAGGATAGAACTCACCCCGCCACGTCCACTCCATGTCGCGCTGGCATTCCGACATTCCGTTGAAATCGCAGGCGGCACATTGCGCTGGAGTGACCATCGCATGGGGCTGCAAGCGGTTAGTGAGGATAATGTTTGGATACATTGCCGAAACATCAAGATGATAGATAAGGGGTTTCTCATTCAGCCGGGGGTTTTCACGAAGTCTATGAAGCTGTTTGACAATCTCCGCACGAACTTCTGCATAGTTGGTGACGTCGTCCACACTCATCTTGCCCTCGACCTCAATGGCGAACCGCAACGTTTCGTCAAGAGTTTTTTCAAGATCTTCGAGGGCGGTGACATCAATGTTGAATTGGAGAGGCAAGTCACTTCGATACACACCCGTTCGGATGGCTTCAACGTGACCGCCAATGTATGTCTCTGACTCGAGCACGTGCCCATCGTCCGTTAACTTGCCGATTGCGCTGCCGTTGTATTTGTTCGGCGCAACAATGCGCTTCTCACGAGCCTGGCACATAAGAAGCATCTCGCACAGAGTTCCAGACCCCTTTCGGAGCACATCATCGGGGTTGAGCGGAATAATATTGCAGAGGGAGAAGATGAAGGGGTGTACGTATTTCATGTACAAGTAGTAGGTACAAACAGCGTCAGAAACGGAATATTTTGCCATTTCATCCGGCCTTTCTATAGCAGCTGTCATCATCTCTTCTGGCGGGATCTCCTCTGGCTCAAAGCCGAGCAAGGCTCTCGTCACAGCCTTGAGACCGCGGGAGCCCTGGGGGAGATAGGAGTCGCGATTCACCCAGTGAAAGACATCCATGTGAATCGCTGCCCTCCCCTTTGTCACCTTGGACATCATATCATCACCGTTGGTGCGCATTCCAATTTCCTTGCCCATGTCCAGACCAAGCAGTGCCGCTCTCTTCTCAACGAACGGCCAGTCAAAATAGTCGCCATTGAAAGTGACAAACACGCGCGGGGCCGCAATGCGGGTCTCTGCGAAAAAGCGCTCGAGCAAAGCCTTTTCGTTGGCCTCATTGAAGACCTCGAACTCGCCATGATACTCGGCATGCGGTTTGTACTCAAAGTTGTCGATATCCTTGGACACAACCTCACGGTTGATGCCCAAAAACCCTTTGCCGTCGACCATCCACGAGATCATCATGACCTCATCGCCAGACTCTGCATCTGGAAACTTGAGCGGCTTCTTGGTACACTCGATGTCATAGGCGAGGACGACCGGGGCTGCCCGTTCGACAATATCGGGCAACTTCTCCAATCGGGCGCTAGCAAAATCGTTCGCAGAGGCCTCGTTCAAATCCGGGTCGAGTTCTGCGGGCACTCCGGCTCCATGCATTTGGTCGAAGAGGGCGTCCTCGTCGATATCTTCCTGCGACTTGGAGCTCTGGTCGCCCCCGGGCGAGACTTTGTACCAGTAGCCGACGTTGATCTTCTGGTCAATGGCGAGCCTGTTGACGGGTGCGACGTCGTACTCGCGGATATCCTCGATGGCGTCGAGAGCACCCATGGGGGTGGTTGCGTCTCCCCCGGTGGCGCGGTGAATGGCGGCAGTGCGGCGCTTGCGCTCGAGATTGCGGTCGACGATAGGGGCAAGCCCCTGGCGGAGGCTGTACAAATCGCCCGTGGTGCGGGTCTCGACCTTCAAAAATGATCTTCCCTCATCGGCAGCGAGGTGGTTAGGCATAGAGATGTCCTCGAGGGTGACAACAGAAACCTCAGCGACTTGATCCTGAAACTGCTTTCTAATGGTAATTTCCGCCTCCCTGAGCAGGTCCTTAGTGACGGCGACATACATATATGGGCGTGCAATAATGGAAGCTCTGAAGTCATGGCCGTCGTCGGCGATGAAAAACAGGTCGACGGCCTGGACAGGCCTGCGTGTTAGGGGCTCCTCGAGGGTGCCCGTGACCATGTTGACGAGCCATCCGACGCGCGGACGGGAGCCCGGGGGCAGGGGCGCAAAGCCGAGCAGTGTGTCTTCGAGCTCGTCTTGTTGACGGTGATCCTTCCATGTGCTGCGGTGGGGCAGGCCGTCTGAGAGGGCGGGGTCGGCAAAGGTTTTGAGCTTGGTGGGGCCGGTACGCGAGCCGCCGATGGAGGAGCGATAGTCGGAGCGGCCGTAGCGATTCCGAAAGACGCCCATGGTCGGACTGGGGTGCAAGCGAAGGGGGAGGGGGGAATGGTGGTGGGGGGAGGGAGAGAGGCTGAGGTCAGGGCGGGGGTGGTAAGCAGGATAGTTTAGGAGGGAAGGGAGGAGGAGGGAAATGTGAGAGGCTGAAGCAGTAGTTGTAGGACTTCTGGCCTAATGCTATGGCCGTTTGGATGGCCGTTTGGCAAAGGTTGCGGAACGAGCATTTCGCGCCAAAATGTGATTGACGCGCCGTGGGCGATCACGATCTGAGCTAGATGCAGGGCCTAGTACAGTATTGAGCCCATGCACAGCACTGTACACGTACAACACATCACATTCCATAAAAACCACAGCTTTGTACAAATCCCGCGAAACAGCGATTTCGACGGCACGCCAACTATTGCCGCGAAACAGCGGTTTTGACGGCACGCCAACCATCTTGAGCTGATGTCAGCTCAGGTGATGTCAACATCACCTCCGACGTGCAGGCTGCCGACCGGTCCAGCAAAGTCAAATCTCATCATTCAAAATGGCTTGTCTCATCCTTCCCATCATCTCGCTCATGTAGTGAATATTGTGCAACGTGAGCAGCGTGGCCGCCATGGGCTCATGCGTCTTCCACAAATGATGTAAGTAAGCGAGCGAGTGTCCCCTCAACCCGCCTTCCCAGTCAGGCGGTTCGAACGTGCTCTTCCACTTGCTCTGTCGGATCTGCACCCTGCCAAACCTCCTCGTCAGCAGCGTACCATGCCTGCCGAGCCGTGTGGGAAAGCACGAATCAAACGTGTCCACGCCCAGCGGCACGGCGCCCACGATGCTATCGACGTCGGCGATGCCCAGCAGGTGGTTGGGGCGGTCCGGCGGCAGCCGCGGCATGACGAACCTCAACAGCTCGAACAGCTCGTCGCGGTTCTTCCCTAGGCTGCCGCCGATGCCGTATCCATCAAATGGCAAGCTCCCCAAGTACTCGGCCGACATTGCGCGTAGGTCCTCGTCGATGCCGCCGTGCACCACGGCGTACATTGCCTGCTTCCTGCGGTCGTCCAGATGCGTCTGCAGGCTGCGCGCCTCCCAGCGGTGCGAGAGCAGGACGGAGCGATGCAGCGCGTCCCGCTCGATGTGGTACGGCGGGAGCTCGTCCAACGGGACAATGATATCCGCGCCGAAGGCCTTCTGCGCAGCGACGGAGGTCTCCGGGGTGAGGAGCATGCGCGTGCCGTCGCGGTACGAGCGGAAGGTGGCGCCCTCTTCAGTGACGGAAAGAAGCAAGGATTCTGAGTTTTTAGGGCGCGAGCGTTTCATGTTGAGCTCCTCTGCGACCGAGCCGTGTGCGAGCGAGAAGACCTGGAAGCCGCCCGAGTCTGTGATGATGGGGGCGTCGCGGTTCATGAAAGAATGCAGGCCACCGGCTTTGGCGACGACTTCCGGGCCGGGGTGGAGCATTAGATGGTAGGTGTTGCAGAAGATGAGCTGGAGCTCGGCGGCCAGTGGGCGGTGGTCGACGGCTTTGAGCGCGGCGTTAGTGGCGACGGCGACGAAGCCCGGGGTGTCCACGACACCGTGGGGGGTGTGCAGGCGGCCGACGCGGGCGCGGGAGCGGGTGGAGCGATGAATGAGCTCGTAGCGGAAGAAGGGAGGGGGTTCGTAGGAGGGGAAGGCGGAGGGGGGTGGGGGGAGCGCGTACGGGTCGGGGAAAGGGGGGGGTTTGCGGCGGCGGTTCGGGCGGGGCTTTGGAGATGGGGACGGGGACGTGGTTAATTGGGGCAAGAAGCGAGCGGCGGGGAGACGCGGGGGCATAGTGGAGATGGAGGTGAGGTAGAGGAATTAGGCAGTGTTGGTGAGGGAGGGCGGAGGTGATGTCACCTCAATTGTCAACAATTAGCGAAGCGGGGGTCATCTCCGATCACGGTGAGGAGGACATGGCGGGGGGCATCGGCGGGGCGATGCATCCAAACAGGAGCACAACACGTGTGTGTGGTGTAGCTCGATGCACAGTCTCGTGTGCGGGCGACTGCTGGTGCCAGCACTGCCAGCAGTCGCAGCTTCTTGGTACCAAGACGCTGCGTCAGTCGTGTGCACGTGGCAATGGTTCTAACACGTGTAAGCGTGGCCACGGAGGCGAAAAAGAGAGGGAGGGAATTTTGGCGGGTTCGCACAACACTCTCCGGCATCCCGCGGCAAATAGGACGTTTGCCAAACACAGACAACCCTATCATCGGCCTGGCCAGCCATCCCCGACAAGCCCAGCCCTCCCCACTCGCCCCGCCTCATCCTTGCCACCGTCCCCCGCAACATGCCGCACAGCCGCACGCTCTCCACCCTGCGCCTCCAATCCAGGCTTTTCCCCACGCTCCCATCCTCACCTCCCCGCCGCCCCTTCGAAGGGACGGACAGATCCCGCGCCCCCGCGCCCGCTCTCCCTGCCCGCCCCCTCTCGCCGGCCTCCTCATCCGCCTCGACGCTCCCGCCGTCCCCGCCCCCTGCCCCCAAACTCCACCCCGATGACGTCCCCATCCTCGGAAGCGCCGCGACCGAGACGGTCGAGCTGCTCGCCGCGGTGCGTGCGCGCACCTCCACGATCAAGAAGGTGCAGCGCGACCTGCAGGTAGCGGCACAGCGCCTGGTGGCGCTGCGCGCAGCGGAGAAGAGGGGCCCGTACGGGGCGTCGAGCGCGGTCGTGGTGGACAACCTGCCCGGGGAGGACTGCCCTATCTGCCTGGAGAAGCTCACGTCGCCCAGCTCGTCGATCGCGCGGTGCGGGCATATGTTCCATAGACACTGCATCGAGCGGCACATGATGCAGCGCGTCAGCCCAGAGTGCCCGATTTGTAGGCAGAGTATGCACGTTGCGGAGCTCGTGCAGGTCATGAGCGGCATCCCAGAGGCTCGGGATGATATGCGCGGGGCGCCGGCGATGGGGGAGGGGAGCGGAGAAACTGCGTTGGAAGACGCGGAGGTGGTCATTGATCTGGTCGATATTGACGCGACTGGCTCGCAAGAGAGTGAACGGGGGGAGGGTAGTGGCAAGGGGGATACTGCGTTGGTTAGGTTGGCAGGCGGGATGCAGAGCGCCATTGCTGAGCTTCGACACGAGATTCAATCGTTTGCGGTGGTTGCAAAGACAGTGGAGGTGTTGGAGAAGAGGGAGCGGGGGAGGAAGGCGGCAGCCGCGCGACAGCGCAAGGCACGGGAAAAAGAGCAGATGCAGCTGCGCGACGAGTATTCCACCTTGAAGAAGGATGCATACAGGCACCTCGCAGATCTTAAGCATGATAGGGAGGAGCTAAGGCAGAAGGGGGCCGAGGTAAATGACGAGCTAAGTGCTGCGAAGAAGATCCGCATCAACTTGGACCTGCTAAAAAAGGAGTTAGAAGTCAAGGAAAACGAGTTGGAGCTGGAGCGCGCAAAAGTTGGCGAGGAGCAGTTGCACTGCTTGCAGACGAAGAAGAGATATGAGGCGCTTATCAAATCGAGGCAGACAAAGGAAATGCTCGACAAGCGGCGGAAGGACGCACTTCCGACGCAGGGCAGAAAAAAAGTCCGGAGAGTGTCGGCGGAAGGAGCACCTTCCTCTGACGACGAATCAGGCGATGATGACAAGGCGAGCAATACCACACATTTGAGCGCGACTTTTCGAAGCGAGGGGACGCGGTCTCAATCTGAAAGGCCGCTAGCAGTATTCGGAAGCCAGCTGTCGAAACCGTCTCGCCTGAACAGACCCGTTGCGCCGAGAAGAGACAGAGCAAAGCTTTCTCAGTTTACTCCAAAGCGCAGCAAGGTGCAGCGGCCTATGGGTGGGGTAGGGGCTCGCTCGCGAATAAGATAATGCCTCACCCGTGGGCGGCTGAGGATAACAGCTTGCAGCGGACAGGGTCCGTCTGCTGGGCGCGAGTCAAGATAGGATCGTAAGATAGATCCTGGAGCTGGTAGGCAAGTCTTGTGACCTCCAAACAAATTCCGTCTAGATATCGATAGGCCTCATCCTGCGTCAGATGTTATCTTCTCTCGCCAGTCTACTCTTTGCTAAACGCTGGATCCAGCTTACAGCGCCTCTCAAAGGCACATCATTCGTAGCACGAACGGAAATATATCGCTTCCTACAGTGGGTCAAGTATTTACGCACTATTAAATGCTATGCGCTGGAGGGGAGCGTCAATGAGTTGGGAATCCCACGAGGCCGTAACTGAGAACGAAAGATTAACAGGAGTAAACGTTAACAGAAACCGAAACCGATTCTCTGATTTTAAGTACCTGGGCCAAGACCTACGTGAAAAAAACTGTGGCTTCCTCAAAACCCCCGAGCTAGTAAGCTCAGTACGCCGCGGTCCAAATTTTACTTCCACTGGCGAGCCATGACCTCACCGAGGTCGACAACTCTTTGGGAGTATCCCCACTCGTTGTCGTACCAGGCGACAACCTTGATCATGTCATCACCCATGACCATGGTGAGCGATGAGTCAATGATGGTCGACTCATCAGTACCGCGGTGGTCGCACGACACGAGCGGCTCGTCCGAGTACTTGATGATACCCTTCATCGCACCCTCAGAGGCCTTGAGAAGGGCACCGTTGACCTCCTCCTTGAAGGTCTTCTTGTTCACCTGCATGACGACGTCGCAAACGGAAACGTTAGGAGTCGGTACACGGAGGGCAATGCCGTTGAGCTTGCCCTTAAGCGAGGGCACAACAAGAGCGACGGCCTTGGCGGCACCGGTGGTGGTGGGGACAATGTTAAGGGCGGCTGAGCGGGCACGTCGAAGATCGCGATGTCCGGCATCGAGAAGGCGCTGGTCACCGGTGTATGAGTGAGTGGTAGTCATCATTCCGCGGACGACACCAAACTCATCGTCGAGGACCTTCATGAAGGGAGCCATGCAGTTGGTGGTGCACGAGGCGTTGGAGACGATGTCGTACTTGTCATGAGAGTAGTCCTTCTCGTTGACACCGACGACAAAGGTGCCAATTCCGTCACCCTTACCCGGGGCGGTGATGAGAACCTTTTTGGCACCAGCCTCAATGTGCTTACCGGCGCCCGGGGCGTCGACGAAGACACCAGTGGCCTCAACGACGATGTCAATGTTCATCTCCTTCCATGGCAATTGGAGCGGGTTGCGGTTAGAGACAATCTTGATGGTTTTGCCGTTAACAGAAATAGTGTCCTCCCCAGCACTGACGTCAGCGTCAAAGGTTCCCAAAATGGAGTCATATTTGAGGAGATGAGAAGCGGTCTTCACACCAGAGGTATCGTTAATGCAGACAACTTCCATGTTGGAGTCACTGCGGCCAGCCCAGCATCGGATGAAGTTGCGGCCGATACGGCCGAATCCGTTGATGGCGACGCGGACCTTCATGGTGGGGCCGAAGGTGGCGGCGACGATGCCGGACACGCGGGTGTAGAAGGCGTCATTGGCATCAGAGTAGCCGCCGAAGGCAGAGCCGGACTGAGCCGGCTGCAAGCGGGAGGACTGGTTGACCTTCTTCATGCCCGAGAATTGGGCGAAGCTGGAGCGACCCTGCGAGATTAGATCAATGCGGAGACATGATGCTTTCCGTTAGCATGCGCGAACAGCATAGGAAGTTTCGTGGGGTAGGTCGCAAGAAGAAAGCACAAAAAAGGCGGAAACGTACCTGTACCTGACATACTGAGGACTTGGTGGTGGCGCGGACAGTGGCGACGGGAGCGACGAAAGCCATTGCTAAGATGAAAGGGTGAGGAGGGAAGAGTGGAAATGAAAATGGGGGCGGCGTGTGGTGGGGGGGTGAAGCAGTCGAGGGGAAGAGAACGGCAATGTGGAGGGCAGGGCAGGATAGAGGACAAGTTAAAAGCTGGAGAGGAAGCGCGAGCAAATAGGAGCTCCGAGCTCGCAGCGGGTGCAGAGCCACTAATTGGGATGAACGGCTAGGCGCGGCTCTCACATGGGCATCATACTGTTTTTCACGTCATACAGTACTGGGGCGAATGCTCACGTTGCGGCGTGGGAGCCAATGCTCCGAAAATGATCAACGCGCGCCGATTTCGATGATCGAGGCAGCGGTGTGCGCCAGAAACTGCAGACCACCATCGCCGCCTCGCACACTCTTGCTGCTGGCCGTACGTTGCAATCTCCCGTACAGACTCAAAGCCGTAGCACAATTCGTTTTGGGGGAATGTAATTGGCCCATCAGAAAATCCTGGCCTCAAGTAGCCAATCGAAATGCTAGGGTTTGGAGCAGGCGCGCCTCCCGCCTGGATGTTGCCAAAAGATTTTCGAGCGAAGCGACGTCTAAGATCACCCTGTGGCCGCTGACCTGACCCCACGACGAATCATTATGACTCCTTGCAAGATTCTCATTGGGCCCTTTCTCATGTGATCATTCATGAGCTTTTCTATTGGCCGCCTGGAACGGTGAACAGCCTCCCCCAAACGTTCAATGAAACGACTCTCCTCAATACAGCACCTCAAAAATCTCAGATTCACAGCCTGGCCTGCTCCGCGTCTCCTCTGTATTCTGTTCCAAGACTTGTCTTGTTGAGATCAACCTCATGGGGTTCACGGCGTATACTGTACTCTACACCCTCAGGGAGGGTCTTAACTTGCCCGAGTTTGCTTTGCTTGCCCGAGTTTGCCGGTCATTTATTAATTTTTTAATGTAAGTACACGCCTTCCCCTTACGTTAGTAGTGGACAGGTGTCCTTTTCCTTACGTTAGTAGTGGACAGGTGTCCCAGAGCGACGATGCTGAGTTACAGAGGCATACAGCGCCATAAATTGCCAGAACACAACGGGGAGGACACTGTGGGTTCTACAAATTCGCTCCGAGTACGCATCGACAGGGACGTGACATGCTGCAGCGTCAAACAACTTCGCCCCAGGGACGCGTCGACATGGACGCGAGACGCTGCAGCGTCGCTCGCTTCCGACCCAGAACGTGGCCATTGCGGGTGATCCCGGATCACCGGGATAAATAACTGATCTCACTCCTACTTCTCTCCTTACTCCGCGGGATAGCGTATCTATCGCCGGCGCTGTATGGTCAAAAAACGCATCTACAACCACTGCCCAGTATCGCCGTTCGCCTCCCCTCCTTTCTTCTCAATCTAATCACTCCTACGCAATGCACGGCAATAGAATCATCACTGCTACGACTGCACTAACCGCAACCGCAGCTCTATTCTCCCTCCTTTCATTGCACCAAGCTATTTCAAACTATCCTCCACCCCGAAAATTCACAAAGCCCTTAGATCTCCGACGGGGATGGACCTTTGTCAGAGCCAACAGGATTTTTAACGACAAAGAATTCAGTCGTACATACCGTATGGAGGGGGGGATAATATTTGGTCAGAAGCGCCCGCTGCAGACGAGGAAGCAATAGTGAGAGACTTTGCGTTGGTGGCCCCTGTCTTCCGAATGGTGGGAGTCGGAGAGATGCGCCAGAGGCGCGGAGAACGGCGCACGTGGCATTGAGGTGTGGAAGCTATTTTCAGGAAAGTAGTAGGCAGAGAGGTGCTTCGTAGAGTTGGGTTGCCTTTGCGAGATGGCAGGTGCATAGATTTTTGCAAAGGGGGAGTTGAGGATGTTTTCGGCAAGGGGCAAGCACTGCGTCCACCGGAGCACAGCGTCCAAATTCGAAAGTTACAAACTTACAAAAGTAGCCAATATATGATTGACATTTGTCATTACACACTGACATAACTTCAGCTTGCAGTGTAGGGTCGTACTTAGTTTCAAATCATATATTAACGCCCAGTAGCCAATAGTAGTGCAAATCATGGCTCGGGGCAAGCAAACCCGGGCAAACTCGGGCAAGTTAAGACCCTCCCTCAGGCGCAATGCATCCATCCATCAGGATCGTTCTAACTTCCAAACGTAACCCTGAAGGTAGATAGAGCTCAGTGCAGCGATGCCAGGGCCAGTAGGAACTAACCCGTAGAGGTACGGACTCGATTCTCACCGCGATTCTTTGCAATCCAATGTCGACCAGTGAAAGGGTATCCACTGCAGAAGAAGAGGAAATTGTGCATTCTGCGCAGGATATGCGACGGCAGCTTTAAAATTCCTTTCAAACTTGGCATCTTTTTCTATCTATTGCCACAGTTCAATATCTCTTGGACTACATTCATGTTCAGTATGTAGTACATACTATGTACAGTACAGTACGTGCTAGTTGCATATTCAGAAAGGGAAGAGAACAAACATGAGAGACGGACGCCATGAGTCCAAAACGACTTAATTCTCGTTGCCATAAATATCATAAAATTTGAGAAAATAATAAAATTCTACAACTTATTTTAGAAGCGGACCGTCAGTCATCATTTTGGGCTTCGACTGCGTACGCGTTTGATCCTCTGCTCAGCTGAGATTGTGAGAGGGCGTCCCCGCAGTCAACACAGCACCATCTTCCCTCCGCTGCCTCCCCAGCCTCGTTCTTCAGCACATCGACCGCTGCAATGCGTCCACCGCATCCGCAACCATCCGCCCCAAGATGACACCGTCCCCATCCCATCCCCGTCCCACCCCCACCCTCCTTTCGAAAACAGCCCCCCTCCCCGCCTCCACCTTCCTCCTCCACCCGTCCTTGCACCCCGCCTCACACTTCGTCCTCATCCCCGCTGCCCAGCACGCAACGCTCCAGCCGGCCCCCTTCGTCTCCATCAACTCCCGCCTCGCCACCCTGCGCACCACCGAGCACTTCCTCCCTACCCTCCATCCCGTCCCGCCGGTCGCCCTTCTCTCCCCCTCTCTCTGGCTCTCCGTGCATAGGCCCATATCCATCCTCCCATCGCAACCCTCCGCCGTCGCCCTCGTCGTCCTCGCCCCACTCTTCCCGCCACTCCGCGCCCCGCACGCGCAAGCCGTCGCGCGTCTAGCCGCCAAGGCGCTTAGAGGCCGCGACGCGCTTCCAGGGGATGTCGTGCCTGTTTCGCGCGGCGTGTTCGTCGTCGTTGCCCGCGTTCAGGGGGAGGGTGGTATCTCAACTTCTACCAAGGTAGCCGTGCAGCTTGGCGGCGCGCCGACGGTCGCGAACGTTGCGCCCGAGCTTGCGGCATGCGCTAGAGCGAAGTGGATGGCCGAAGAGTTTTGTCGGGTGAAGGAGTTTGTCGCAGAGTTAGACGCGTGCGTGAGGCAACGCGCGCGCGTCATCGCGCTCGCGGGCTTGGAGAAAGATGCGGCGGATGTGATCGACGTGTATGAGGCGGCGGCGCCCGTGGTGAGAGTGGACGGCCATGAGAAGCTCGGCAAGGTCGGCGACGCTTTGATTGCGGCAAGGCAAACGACCCCGCCTGGCGTGGTCGTTTGTGCGGCCGAAGGCGGCGTAGATACGGCCGTCGTCGGGCTTTTGCTTAACTCGGCTGTAGGAGAAAAGCCGATGGGGTGGCATGAGGCAGAAGGTGGCGATGAAACGATTGTTATTTTTACATGTGAAGAAGTGGCCAACTTGCCGCCGGCCGTGTTGACGCGAGTTGAGGCCGAAGTGATCGTGCCAGCAGTGACAGAAGGGGAGAGGATGCAAGCTGTGAGCCAGGCCGTGCAGGAAGATGCAGCCGAGACGGATATTCAGGAGATTGCGAGGATGAGTACTGGATTTGCGCGCGCGGAAGTAGCGGGGCTTGCGAGCGTCTACGTGGATAGTGGAATAAAGTCTTGCCGGGAGGCTGTCAAGCTGTTTGGGAAGGGAAAGCTCACGGTTGATGTCGGCGGAGTGAAATGGGGGGATATCGGAGGCCTCAGCGCTCCAAAGGAGGAGATTCTCGAGCTTGTTGACTTGTCATCAGATCCTACAAAAGGGCATAGCGACGGAGACGTCGTTGTAAACACGAACAGGAGGGTTGGAGTGCTTCTGTACGGACCACCAGGAACTGGAAAGACGCTTCTCGCAAGAGCGGTCGCTGGGGAATGCGGCTGTAGCTTCATTTCAGTGAAGGGACCAGAATTGCTCGACATGTATGTGGGGGAGAGTGAAAAGAATGTGCGAGAAGTTTTTGCACGAGCCGCAACTGCAGCACCATGTGTCGTCTTCTTCGATGAGTTAGATGCGCTCGCGCCGGCTCGCGGACGCGGTGCCGATTCTGGAGGGGTGTCCGATCGCGTCGTTAGTCAGCTCTTGTCTGAATTTGATGTGATTGCTTCTCGAAACGACGTCTTTATTATCGCAGCAAGCAACAGACCAGACCTCGTAGACCCAGGATTGCTGAGACCTGGTAGGTTGGACAAGATGATTTATGTATCAATGCCGGGTTCGAGAAAGGAACAGGAGGCGATTTTGAAGGCGCAAACGAGAAAGTTCCAGCTGAAAGGCGAAATCGATTTTGAGGAGGTCCTCGAGAATGCGCCTCCACCACCGACGCTCAGTGGTGCCGATTTGTATTCGCTTGCGGCGGGAGCTTGGATGCATGCCGCAAAAGAACTCGTAGGAAGCGAGCTTGACGATGAAGAGACTACTGCTGACGGTTCGAATTCGGTTGAAGATGACCCTGTCGAATTAGCCGTAAAAGAAGCCGCGGATTGGGCTGAACGGCAGGAGTTTCGCAGAGAATGGCTCTCGGAAGCTAAAGCGGATTCTCACACGAACGGCTATGCCGAAGAACGAAATAGCTTTGGAAATCAATCAGGGGTACAAGTTTCGCAAATGGATTTCGTAGCGGCCGCGAAGGAATTGAAGCCGTCGCTGAACTCAAAGCAATTACAAGAATATGAAGAGCTAAGGGTACGCATCGAAACGGGAGTGTGATCGGGGTTGTCCTTCGTGCCGCAAAGTACGCGCATCATATGAACAGATACCGAAGTCGGTATGGTGTAGTTCGAAAACCAAAATATCACTCTGAATCTCTACAAGTAACAACTAAACTCATGCCGTCCCCCTGGAAACCTTGCTGGTGGCGCTCATTTGTTCTGCCGCAAGGAATTCCAGGCCGGGCATAATCGTCCCTTCTTTCTTTGACGTGCACCCACAACTCTGTCCGTGACGGTGACGATGCTCTCCTGACTGTCTCTGCTGGGGTTTTGACGCCTCAAAATTGTAAGTCTTTTTCGTAAAAGCCCCGACCGGACAAAGATCAATGACATTACCAGACAACTCCGAATCCAGCATCTTTTCAATATATGTGCCGATCTCCGTATCCCTCCCTCTCCCCGTTGTCCCAAGGTCCTCGACACCAGCAACTTCCGTCCCAAACCTAACACATCTCGTACAATGAATGCAGCGCGTCATAATGGTCTTGACGAGCGGGCCGATATACTTATCCTCTACGGACCTCTTAGACTCATAAAACCTTCCTCGATCCGAGCCGAAAACCATAGCCTGATCCTGCAAGTCGCATTCGCCTCCCTGATCGCAGATCGGGCAATCGAGCGGATGATTAAGTAAGAGAAACTCAAGAACCCCTTCGCGCGCCTTCTTGACCTTGTCCGAATCGGTCTTGATGACCATGTTGGGCATGACCGGCATGGCGCACGAGGCGACCAGCTTCGGGCTGCGCTCGACTTCGACGAGACACATGCGGCAATTTCCAGCGATGGAGAGGCGCTCGTGGTAGCAGAAGCGCGGGACCTCCACGCCGGCAGACTCGCATGCCTGGATGATGGTGGCCCCGGCGGGGACAGCGCGCTCTGCGCCGTTGATTGTCACGGAGACGGTGTCCGCGGAAACAGCGTAGCCGCGGCGCAAGAACGCGGCGCGCAGAGCAGTAGAGGGGGTCGAGAGGCCAGAGCGGAAGGCGTTCATTGTCGCGCGGCAGAGGAAGAGAGGGTGGATTGACCAGGCGATGCGAGGACGGGGTGGGGTCAAAGAGGAATCGGGTTGAAGTACAACTGGAACAGCAGGACAAACATAGCGACTGGCAGGGAGACGAAGCTGATCGAGAGTAAATTTTAAATAAAAGACGCAATCTGCGTTTGAAGGAAGCTGAAGGCCTGTGACATCACCATTGGTCTCGTGAATTGCTACCTCGCTTTTTAATCGCCTTCCCGCCAAGCCACACCACGCCTTCTTCGTCGAGAACCGGCTTCGACCAACAGCTACGTAACGATCAAATACGTCGCTACCTTGCATTCGTCTGCTCGTTTCCCTGCGAAAATAATATCGCACGCAGTGCGCCACTCTGTGAATCCGTGCCATGCAGGATGACCGATCAATCGCCTCGCCCCGCTGACGAAACGGCAGCCGCACCCACGCCAGAGCCCGCGAAGAAGGAGCCCTCCCCGCAGCAAGTGCGCTTCGAAGTCGAGCTGGAATTCGTTCAGTGCCTCGCCAGTCCCGTCTATCTCAATTGTGAGTTCAGTCTCGCTGCCCCTCCCACGCGCGTATCTACCGCGCTGTGCCATAGCGCTGGGTTAGCTGACAACGCCTCTCCATTTCATTGCGCCCTGCCGTCTTGCGCACGCATAATTCGCCATTCAAGTCTTGGCGCAAAATGAATACTTCGATGACCCGGACTTCATCGCCTATTTGAAGTACTTGCTTTATTGGAAGGAGCCGAAGTACGCAAAGTTCATCGTCTTTCCTCATGCCCTTTCCTTTCTCCACTTGTTGCAGGAGGCCCCATTTCGGGAAAACCTCAAGAGATGTGCGTTTTTCACAAAGTTTTCGCGATGCTTGAATTTGGCACCGACATGCGTATCTAACAAGCACCAAACCATATTTACTTGCGCACCCCCGCCCCACAGCCGACTTTTCGTTCATGCTGCACCAACAACAGGGCTTCCACTGGCAGTATTCCAAAACCATGCGCCTGCGTTCCGAAACCATGCCCGAGAGCGCCGGCGCCGAAAAGGGCGAAACCGACCCTCAGCCCAAGGATGGTATTCGCCCTGATCAGGACATGCCCAACGCCATCAACTCCGCGGCGGCACCAGCTGTGGTGCAGCCCAACGTCGTGGATGTGAAGACGGTGCCATCAGCTTCTGCGTGAGCATGCCTGCCGCCTTTTTCGACGCGACGGTGGAAGGGACAACGGTAAAAGCGCGGACGACGGTAAAAGCGCTGTGTCAAAGTTCCAAACGTGGCGAAGGCCGGGATTGGCGGTGTCGTTTTTCTGGGGTTTCTTTGAAGGACGGTTTTGTGACTGTTGTGGGCCTTTGATCAAAAAGGTTGCGTTTTGTCGAAAATACACGCGTTTGCTACGTACGCATACTGTTCATTTCAATTTGCTGTGGCTTTTGACATGACACATTGTCGGCGTCATGCAAAAATGAAGAGAGCGGATGTTGCTAATGTCGCTGGTGTGTAGAGCGCACAATGAAGTGATAGGAAAGCATTACACATGCTACCACTGCAGAGACTCGTCCGCTTTGTGACAATGGAGCTTCAATATCGATATAAGTCAGTTGCGGACCTGAACCAATGCACATATGTGTCCGCGCGTGTTCGGGGGTTTGATGAGCGTGAGTGCTCTAGGGCTTATTGGACACGGTGTGCAAAATGTGAATAAAGGTGCAGATACAGCCTGTAGATGTTAAATGTTGAACGTCGGGAGCTGAGAACGACTGTGTATAAATTGTTATGCCTTTGACCCATTTGCCTCGACGGTTCTGAACTCGCAGTTTCTACATGCCTTGTAAGAGTCCAACTTCATTAAGATTGATATCGCTTTTCACAAAGCTTACTCTTTCTTTTGCAGCAGGGTGTTGTACAGTATCTTATGAACAACATATATTCTGCATATGGTACACGTGCGACATACCCTAGAGATACTAGAAGGCGTGTTCAGCATAGTAAATCAGCAAGTGATGTTTTCCGTATGCGTATTCTCTTTGTCTGTTGTCGACTGCGGCATATGTCCCTCTCTCTAACAAAGAAAGCCTCCGCGTCAACACGTAAATGAAAAAGGCAGCGAACAGGGGATTTACTCAACCCTCTCTCTCACACACACTGACAACGATGACATCTGAAAAGTGCTTTTAGCACGGGAAATTGTGTCGCACTTCCTATGCAATTTGGCACGGCGCAGGACCGTGCTACAATATACCGTAGTAGTGTAAACAAGTCGTCACATAACAAGCGGTTGAAATCGAAGAGGAATGGTGGATTGTAGACACGGTAAGTGTCTCGTGATACGGTATTGTAGCTGGGGCATGGCACTCGACGTCTGCCATGGACTGACGGAAGAAAAGAGTTGAAGTGCAGTGCGATGCCATTATGGATATGCTTTCCCGACGTGCTGTTGTCCCCCAACGGAAGGGGTGGGTCGGAGGCGGGTTGCGTGGGCCAGGAAGATGGCGCAGGCGCCATTGGCGCACTGCGCCGTGTGGATTCTGACGCCATACAGTATAGTCTGAAATATTCATGTACTGTATGTATGTTTACCCTTCATTGGTACAGTCCGCATCCAAAGAGGAGAGGAGGCGAGTGGCACAGCACGGAAATGTGTCAAAAAGATGGACGCACACTCCGAAACGAGAGAGATGAATAGAGATTAATTTGAGAATTTGTTCGCGCCAGGCTCACCCGGGCTCACCTCCACAGTTTGCGAAGCGTTTGCCCCGGAGTAAAATGATTACGCACGGCATGCACTTCGGTACAAACTGTACAGGGATGGCCTGTCTGCTATGCAGATGTAAAATTACATTAAGCAGCACAGGCGGTACCCCCTCCCCCACGGGTAGGGTTTATTGTGATAAAGCCTCCCCCCCACTCTGACCCCTCTCGTCCGGCCACCCACACTGCAGTATTGCAGCATTGGTGGATGAGTCCACAACAGAACGCCAAACGCTTCGTTGGGTCAACAATCACAGTGATCTTCGTCTTCTGAAGATCCCCTTCTCTCAGCCGCGGGACAGCCTTTTCAAATTACTGTGTCCTGTTTACGACGAGCTTATTCCGTGCTCAGCCTCGGCCAGAATCATCATGCATTTTTAAAATGCATTCCGTATTGCTTTGTAGTACAATGTCACGCAGTACAATAAGTTACACTGTTGGCCGCCAGTTACACTGTTGGCCGCCAGTCCGCCTTCACCCCTTCCACGAGTCTACGAAACCATCCACCCCCACGCGTCCAGACCGTGCTCAAGACTCAGGACATTCTACTGCGGACACATACCCTGCGAACCGAGCAGCGCCACGCGGATGCCCAATGAAGACACATGCCCTGTTGGTGCTCGTCGTCTCCCTCCATCTCGAGCATGTGTCAGCCATCCCATCGCCACACCCGTCGATTCTCAATTTCACTCGAGGTGGCACTTTAAACTGCTACCACCGCTCGATACCACACATTGTTCCAAGCAATGCCTACATCCCCTGTCAGTCTCTGGGCGGCCCCGTCTTATGTGATGCCCTTACGCAAGCTTCCTGACCGCCATATAACCACACCTTTTGACCGCCACGCCCCGCTCTCATCATCTACGCACCACCCAAACCTCATCATTTTCGTTCAAAACACTCCCCCCCCCCCCCAGTACCATAGACCTCAAGCTCCCATGTCGGACCACCACGTCTTTAACATCGGTCTCGCCCTCGCAGGCGGCGCCACCCGCGGCGCCTACACCGCCGGAGTCCTCGACTTCATCCTCCAAGCCCTGAGAGACTTCGAACAACAGCGTCTGGAAGACCCGGACTCAGTCCCGTCATGGCGCGTAAATCTCAAGACGATCGCCGGGACCTCCGCCGGCGGCATCACGGCTGCCATCGCCATGGCCGCCATTGGTACCTCAATTGAGCCCCTTTCCAGCGAGCTCCACCCTCCTGACCCGGAGAATAACAAGTTCTATGATGTCTGGGTGAAACAGGTCAACTCTAAGGCCCTTTTCGACACCTCCGACCTAAACCCTGAAGCCGCCTTGAAGGATAAGGACTATGACAATCCGGTCTGCTCGCTTCTTAACTCCAAATTCCCTGCAGAACAAGCGGCTAATGCCTTGCTGGAGAAAGGTGACTTGGTACCTCCACCGTCATGGGCAAAAGACTTGCAGCTTTACATCACCACCGGAAATCTTAGAGGCGTTCCATTCTGTGTTTCAAACTTCAGAGGGGCCGATGACAGCCTTAGCGATTTACGCATGACCCGCCATCGGGACTGGGTAGGCTTTAAAACCGGTCCATCTAAGATCACAGGGCTGCAACCCCTTGACCTGCACTCAAAAAGAGGATCGAAGCAATGGGATGGTGTCCGCCAGGCGATGCAAGCCACCGGTACTTTGCCAGCAATTTTTCCGGTGGCCAAGGTAACGGCGCCTGTCTCGTCGTACACTAAAAAATTTGGAAAGTGTGAAGCAGCTTGGCCAGCCGGAATGCCGGCAGAGTTCTCGTACGATGCTGTTGACGGTGCCATCTTTCGTAATACGCCGTTGGAGTTGGTGCGCATGTCGATGGAGGCCGCCGGATCGGATAAAGTCGTGTTAACAGAAAAAGTGGAAAATGCTCAAGGAGCGGTGGTCCTGGTGGATCCCTCTCCGTCGCGTCAGGTATACGAGACGGACTATTCTGAGCAAAAGTGCCAGTCGATACCGGAAACTCTTCTCAGAGTTCTCTCATCGTTAATCCTCGACGCGAACTTCTTAGATGATGAAGCAGATGCAGTCGAAAATGTGAATGACCTTTCGAGGTTCATGATCTCGCCCATGCGCTCAGGCAGAGCAGGAAGGCAGGAAATATTGGCAACGGACACGTTACATGGCTTTGGGGGGGTTATCGGGGAGGCTCAGAGGAAGCACGATTTCCAACTGGGGCGACGCAACGCGCAGCAGTTTTTGCGCTCTCACTTCGTCGTGCCATTGGCAGGTGCCAAGTCAAACGACATTTTTAAACAAGATGCGGAACGATTTGCCACAGATATGGGTGAGCGAGGCAAGGTTGTTCGAATCCTGCCGCTATTTAAAAGTGCCCATCGCGATTGTGCAACACCTGTATGGCCGACGTTTAGAAAGGAAGCAAGGAATAAGAGGAGAGAGGAACTGCATGACGAGATAACGGACCGCGTGAAGGTGGTGCTGACCAGCTTTGCAGTCAATTGGGGGTTGTACAGGAGGGGTTGGTTTCCGTTTTCTGCAGTTCGAAATTGGTTCGTCACAGTCGCATTGGGCAACATATGCAAACATATTATGAAACGCGTAGATGTTGCCATAGAAAAGGCTCTGAACAATTTTTAAGCAAAATGCACCATATTGTATCGTCATTCGTGGGCGAACCCTTCGAAGGGTACTGAGAGCATCTCTACCACGGCTCTCGATATTCTAATGACAAGTTTTCATTCCGGTAAATCTGTTGAGAATTGGAGCAATAGAGGTGCCCAATAAAATTTAAGCACTTGGCCAGAAATTTTTGACTAGAGAAGTGAATACGGTCACCGGGAAGAAGTGCTCTAACAAAGTAGAAGTGCATAGGGCATCGCTTCTACCATGACGAGCAAAAAGCATGAAATGTCGCAAGGGAACATCTATATATGCATTACACGTGCACAGCCTGCTCAGTGTTCTCGCCCTCCTTATTTTCCAAAGCATTTCCAGTCCTTCTTTGCCTTCGTTTTGTGTAATGTGGAATTCTTGAGAGGAAAGCCCGCAAAAGGCGTTCGCAACTTTTAGAAGTTTGTGGATCTCGCCCGGGTCTTGGCGGGATGGAGGCCATATAGCGCATCCTCTGGCAGTATGAATGAAGGTGTGATGGACGTACGGCGTCGTGGTGATTCCTTTCGCCCCGACTCTTTCAGGATGGATGTTGGGCATGGACGTTAGGGTGAGATAAGATCGTACCCAGGAAGTAAAAACAGTTCGTGTTGGTCGCAGCAGACAGCATGCCAAGGAAATTTAAGTTTTAGGGTCGAAGCGGTAGATATGCATTAAAATCCGCTCATCTGCTTGTGTCGTTGCGCAATTCCTTTGCTTTTCGTTTCTTAACGTGAAGAGAGCAATGCAAAGTGCTTACCCTTTGGGAATGAAAAGTCTTTCGATGCAAGCACGCGACAGGACGTATTCATGTATGCGGTACATGCACGCGCATTGATATGCGCGCTCTTCCCATCTAAGGATGCATAGGCTAAAGTTGAAGTAATTTCATCCTCCATCTGTTGGACTCATCAATGTCTATCCTTTAACAACTGACATCTGATATACGGTCGTGGTGGGTGAAAAGGCCTGTCCCTTTCGTGGTGGATGAAAATAGATGAAAATAAGGGGCACAGAGGATCACACATTTGCCGCAGGACTTCCCCGTTCACCATGAAATCCACGTGTTGCAAAAACATTGGATTTATGCATGAGGCCTTTGCAATGATTGGGTTTGCCACAGCCATTGTATTGGCCTACCACTTCCGCCCTGCAAATATCTACATGATTGCTCTTCGTGCCACACTGCGTATTATCCATCAACGCGCCGCCGTCTTCTTTCCACGTCAACTGATGTAGAGGACTTCGAACAGGTCGCTCTTACCAGGAAATATCCGTCATCTCTGTCAACTTGGCTCGTGCAAACTTGCCAAACCTCACTGGGTTCAGCGCCTTGCAATCCCTCTCCAAGTTTCGAGTGCCTTACTCGCACTCAACCAAGCATGGCGAGAATTATGGTGCCTCGTGAAACAACCGCATTTTGCCAATCATTGAATTTCCGGTGGACTCGCTGCACGGTGCATCAAATTTCAGCGAGAACGGCTCTCCGACCCCCGCCATCGCGTTTGAAACGATGTCAGAAACAAGTTGACTCTAAACTTCAACCCGACCGCCATCACGGACACACAAAGATATCATGCAAACAAGAACAGGAAAAGCAGGGTGTGAGCAAGTCTTTGGCATACGCTGCAGCCGCCATTATATTGGCCGCAGCGCCTTTCGCAGGGGTCTCAGCCCCTCCGCCCGCCCTCTCCTCACAGCTGAACTCTGCCCCCTTGCGCTTCTCCCAGTCGCTTCTTAAGGATGATGGCGAGGCTCCAGTGAAATTGCAACCACAATGGGATGTAAAATCTATGAACAGCAAAGCAGAGACAATTTTGATGTTCTCTAACGACTCCGATTCCGTCGTTGACTTGTGGTGGATTGACTACTTTGGACACGAGGTCTACTACGCCACCATTAATCCTGGGACAACACACATGCAACCATCATATGCTACTCACCCTTGGGTAGTTCGGGACCACATCTCTCAGAATTCCGTTTTGGTTGTGGTAGCTGGTACTGAGCCAGCCCTTGCGGTTGTACAGAGCGTTTGAAAGCCGGTCGTGGCTGTTCACAACGGGAACATGTTGTACGATTGTAACACAACTACTAGCGTTTATTATTAATCTGCGTATTCATCAACTACTTGTACCATACTACTATCACAAAAGGGTTTACAACTACGTCAAGCACGTTCTTCCGAAGCTTAAAAGCCACTCGGAGATCGCTTCCACTTAAGTTTTATTTGGCCGTCCCAACTGAATTTCAGGGCGACGTTTTCTTATTTAGCATTTGTTCTGGGCTGGTCTTTCCCATACCATCGCATGCAGCCTTTTCCCTAGCGTCGAGGCTCTCTCAGGGGTCACGAGCCATGGTCCCAGCTGAAGCGTTGCCATTTTCTTTCACTGAAACAATTACTTCCATTGTCTAGCGAGTCGTTCGCGTACCCACCTTTCAGAATACGTCAGTCTCTAGGACACTTCTGCTTTTCTTCAAAGAGTGATCGCTCATCAAAAGAGAAAGAAGTCTAGTTGATAAGGATTCCACTACTGTGTTTCCCGAATGAGTTGCCCGGGCCATCTCAACCGTATCTCGAACACCAACTTTCACCATCTGACTGCATTCCTCCCGGCTGATTCCAGCGATTTTGATCAACAAAGAACAACCGTGCTCTTGAACGAGGGCAGCTTCTGGGAAGTCCTTCATCGCTTTGAAGACCACTGAAGCCACCTCTTGTTTTGTGCTAAAAAATTGCGGAGATGTCAAAAAATTTCCCTCTGCTACAGTATCCAAAGTCTTGCAGCATTGCAGAACCACATCTTCATTTCGACCATTCTCTCTCATCACGCTTAGAACAATATTACATCCTCGCCCTCCGTTAAATTTTTGAACATTTTCAGGACTTGAAGATAAAACGGCAATGAGGCAGAGCAATAGATCCCGAAGGATGTCTGAATCGGATGAAGCCAGCGCCTTCAAGAGGACGTTGATTATGTAACACTCACCGATCTTTTGTTTGAATGTCTTCTCAAGACAAAGCTCATGCGCTATAATGGCAAGCTTGGCCAAAACAGCGCCATCTTCTTTCAATGCAGTGCGCATTGCTTCCACTATTCCTGAGCATAGGCCTTCTTTCGTACAACATATGGACAAAGTTCTCGAGCTAGATTTGTTAGATCGCTGGTCATTCGCACAAAGGTGAAAGAGCACGGTCACAAGTTTTCGGACGGTGAAGATATCTGAAGAGTAGATTGTAAGGGTCCGGAATGTTTGAGTGATATAAATTTTCTCATCGAGCACGCGCTGCCTGGCATCACAATCCAGAGATATTGTATTGCCAATTGCAGCAATCATTTGATTTGCTACCGAATAGTTGTCCGCATGAATACGCAGTCCTCTGAAGAGAGAATTGATGGTGTTAGCTTTAAGCATATGGCTGTGATTTGGAGAACACTGAAAAGCCAAGTTGCGAATAGCAAGGCCAGCCTCACCTTGTATCTCTGAAAGAAACTCATATCTTTGCATAACCGACGTAATCAGGGCAATGCCTCCCATTTCTCCAAACGCAACCCGAGCCTTGCGATGCCCGAAGACAATACGGGCACTAGTGGCAACGGCGTTCTCGGTGAGGATGCTGTCTTCAATAAAGTGTTCCAGACTGTCGACTATGCATTCCAAGACGCCCAGAGCTATCATTTGATTTCGATTGTCTGCAACCATACCTAAGTTTCTCAGGGCCGAGAAAGCAGCCCTGCATACGATTGGATCTCTATTGAATTTACGCAGCGCGATTACAGTAGCTTCGATTCCACTCCTTATTCCAATCTCCGTTTGGGATGTCTCATCGTCGATGGATAAAGAAGTGAGAACCTGACAAGATATCGTTTGAGTATCTCTGCTTTCTTGATTTTTCGCCATGTGGTGAATCAGCAATGGGACGCATTGGAGATTCACAAATTCAGTTTTGTTGGCACGTTCTGTCTCAAGTTTTTCCAAAATGATCTCGAGAATGTTGAGGCTCTTGACTTCATTGAGGTTGCGGGAGGCGAAGAGAGCGAGGGCGAGGGAGCGAATGTTAGCAATATCTCCATTGCGTGAGTATCGGTCATCGCTGCACTGCAGTTTTTTCTTGAAGGGGGCTGCCCACTGCTCCGAAGCCACATGCCTTTGATGTTTCGAAATTTCATCCATTGCTTTTTACCACGATGACGTCAAGATTCGTTCTCGTATGTGTTACCAGGTGCCGGGTGTCTTGGGCTTCTGCCGAAAGAGGAAATGTATTGAGTGTAGATGGGGTTTCCTCAAAAATGCATGAGGTGATTTTATTTATTGCTTTCACACAACCTTCCGATGACGAAATTAAGGAATTCATAGAGATTGAGAGTGGATTGGAGTGAAATTTTATAGATCCATATTACGTTACTTGTCTGTGAAGAGACGGTGGAAATATTTTCAGCAACATTGCTAGTGAGGCATGCGAAAGATGACTATTGCTCGCTCTTGCAGATGCATGGATGTAATTTTTAAAGCAAGGTTTTGGACTCAACCAGGCGAGGACTGGCTTCGACATTGTTTTTATCCAGAACTGTTCCCGATGACACCTTTGAATACTTGGAGAAAGAATCGATTTTGAGAAATCTAGTCTGTTGCTTTGAAATGTGTTTGGTCAGCATATGAAACACAAATTGGTAGACATGGAGCAATTTCAGATGCTTTGGCGGAATGAAGATTGTGCACTGCCTCGCACAATTCGAGTGAGAGAAACCGAGACCGGATTTGACGAAGCGTCAGTGAAACCAGCTGAGCTGACGTCAGTTGCAACTTCTGTCAACGGAGGGATATTGAACGCCATTGCGACGTGAAATCTCAAGTTGGTTCGCTTTTGGCAACAGCTCACAGGACGCAGAGAAGTCCAGATTGCATCCACCGATCCAGACGGAATCTAGGGGCTGTGTCGGATTCTTGTGAGGAACCAATGGAAACTTTTCTCGTCAACTCTGTCAAGATATTTAGTTTTAATCGAAAAAAAACAAGTTTTTAAAATAATAAAGCTATTTTACTGAAGGAAAGGCATCTGACATATTCGCTTTCAAAACCTTACAAAAGGCATTCGAATCGCCTGCCGATGTTGACTATCTCCTCCTGCACTGTCATTTCTTGTGCAAACTATCCCAGGCCTTGGTTTCCTCCGCAGTTAAAGCAGCCGGATACTGACATTAACCAGCTTACATATCGCAATTGTGCCAAGCTGCCGATATCTCGATTGATCTCTTACCTATCTCTTCGTCGCCTCCTATCTTCCACGCCGTCAGGTCTACACCACACTTTCACATCCCTACCCTCCCATCCACTTCTTCCTCCCCTTCGCCACCCCTTCCCCTCACTATGAATGCTTTTATTCATACCATTCCTGTTACCCGAGCGACGTCGTTCCATCGGTCAGTAGCACCGACCACGACCCGTTGCCGCCCGCAATTGCCATCGCGAAGAGCATACCGCGCCGCCCATCTCTCCCCATCTTGCTTGGCGGCGCCTGCGCCGGGGTCCGCTTCCGCTAACACTTCCTCCGACGTAGAGGCTACCCCGAGCACAGGACATGATTGCCGCATTGAAATCGATGGGCACAAGCTTGCCTATGACTACTTTCCCGGTTCTGGGCCCATAGTTGTGTTTCTCCCCGGCTTCTTCTATTCGCGCTGGAGACAAGCCAAGGCAAATTACTTGGAGATTAGTGCTAAGAGGAAGGGGCAAGGCATTCTGGTCGAAGAGTACTTTGGTATCGGCCGCTCCGAGGGTGACTTTATCAAGAAAGGAACCCTCACCCGATGGATCTCAGACACAGTAAAACTGATAAAGGCAGTAGTGGGCGATGAAAAGGTCGTCATCGCCGGTGCGGGGATCGGTGGTTGGATCATGCTGCACGTGGCGATGCAGCTACCGAAACAGGTTGTCGGGCTAGTCGGTGTCAATGCGAGCGTGGATTTCACGGAGGATTTACTGTGGCCGAGCTTGACGAGCGAACAGAAGCAAGAGATCGAGGTGACGGGCAGTGTGAACCTGCCGTGGGGCTTCCGGTCGTACCCGATCGGCAAGGCCTTGTTGGAGGACGCCAAGCAGTGGCTCGTCATGCGGGGAGAGAAGGGGTCATTGGATGTGACGTGTCCCGTAAGGTTGTTACATGGCATGGCCGATGAGGAGGTGCCGCCGGAGAGGACGCTGCAGCTCTTGGACAAGATTCGATCAAGTGACGTGGTGGCGGAGATGATCAAGTATGCAGATCATGCGCTAGAGGATGATGACGATATGAGGAGGATGTGGGATGCGGTTTGTGACGTGTCGGATAGGTATTACGAATACGACCTTACTTCGCCGAGTAGTGGATAGGATGCAGAGGGGGCGGCTGGTGCTTGAAATGTCATGGGATGGCGTGTTTGGCTTGCTTGGCATGCGCGGCGTTGCGGTGGCTTCATCAGTGATGGTGTGAGTAGTTTCATGTACATGTAAACAACATCAATTCAAGCATCCATGACCGATGCGTAAGGAACAAGCAGGATGTCTCAATTGCATAAACACGAGTGACTTCGTTGACTAATTCGTGCGCATGGAATTGTTGCTAGAAATTGTGGAGCGTTTCTCACATACTGTACAGTTGCTCCTCAGAATCTTGCCCAGATAGGATCAACACTTCATGATGCACCCAGCGATGCTGCTACTGGAAGTACGTCCGGGTAATAGGGCAAGTCGGTCAAAGGGGTTTGCTTCGGGTGAAAAGGCGACGGTGCAAAGCAGAGTTTCGGTCGGGAAAGAAGCTCAGGTCTTCTGCGTGATGCAAAAGAATACTGTACGTAGGCCCGTTTTTCGAAGGGTGATTTATGAAAAACATGTTGTGCAGAAAGGTGATGTACAACAAAACACACGGTCGCATTGCTGGAATGGCAGTCTTGCTTGTGTCTCTTTGCCCCCCCCCCCCCCATCCTCACCCCTGCAATAGCCCTTGACCGGGCACTTCACCTCTCACTCGCCCCACGCCTGCGTCCTATCGCGAACCTTCGGCGGCCGCCACCGCGCGACATGGATCCGATAGCCGCGGTAGCAGCGCACATGCACGATCTCGTCTCCTCGGTCCCCGGGATCAAGGCGCTCCTCCTGGACCAAGAGACGTCCCGGATCATTTCGTTAGCAACGAACCAATCGACCCTTCTCTCGCATTCCGTCCTACTCATCGAAACGCTCAAGCGATCCAAGAAGCCCTCCAACGCGCTTTCTTCCGTCCGCGCAGTAGCCTTTCTGCGGCCCACAGCAGAAAACATCCATCTTCTGCGAGCAGAGCTGCATGCGCCGCGCTTCGCGTCCTACAAACTCTGCTTCACAAACATCTTGCGCCGCTCATTCATCGAAGAGATTGCTGATGCAGACTTATCGGAACGCGTGACAGATGTGAGGGAGCTGTTTGCGGATTTCTATCCGCTGCATCGCACTCTGCTCTCTTTTGCCGTCGTACCGTGCTTGCCAGCCATGGAGGGGACGGGTGCGAACCTGCGCAGTCTAGCGCTGGAGCGTACTGTGGATGGCGTCATTGCGAGCTTGCTAGCGATCAAGAGGCGGCCAAGGGTGAGGTTCCAGAAGGCCTCATCTTTGAGTTGCGCGATCGCGGAGAGAGTTGTCGTACGCATGGAACAAGAGAATGAGTTGTTCCAATTTCGGAAACGCGACAGCGAGCCGCTCTTGATTGTGCTAGATAGAAGGGAGGATCCTGTCACGCCGCTGCTCAATCAGTGGACGTATGAGGCGATGGCGCATGAATTGATCGGAGTGGAATTCAATCGCGTCAGCCTGAAGGACGCGCCCAACGTCCCCGACGATTTTCAAGAGCTTGTTCTCGATCCTGTAGAAGATGAGTTTTTCCGACAGAATCGCTACAAGAACTTTGGCGACCTGGGCGTTAGTCTGAAAAATATGGTGGATCAATTTCGAGTGCAGAGCCAGAGTAGGAGTAACTTGAGCACTATCGAAGACATGATGAAGTTTGTCGGAAACTATCCAGAGTTTCGGAAAACGTCGTCTAACGTGAGCAAGCATGTGGCATTGGCGGGTGAACTATCGCGTTTGGTCGGCGAAATGAATCTTTTGGAAGTGTCGCAACTAGAGCAAGACTTGGCCTGTCGCGAAGCAGAAGCAGACCATCGGAAACGTATCATGGAACTCTTGTCGAAGCCAAATGTGAGCAAATCAGACAAGTTGCGTATAGTGATGCTCTATGGCTTGAGGTATGAGGGCACTAACGACCGCGGGCTGCCACTGATGAAGGACGCGCTCCACAGGATTGGACTGGGATCTGATGGTATACATCTTATTACGGCCGTAAAGGAATATGCGGGAGCAGCCAGGCGATCTTCCGATGTGTTTTCGAATCGTTCTTTTTTCGCCATGGCAAGCAACACGGTTCGTCGAGGAATAGGCGGAGTGGATAACATATATACACAACATGAGCCCCTCCTCGTGTACACGATTGATGACCTTTTACGAGGTAAGCTAAAGGCCATGGAATATCCTCTTACTCGAGCAGAGGATGACCTACAAGGACTGAGCATTTTGGGTCGTAGTGAAACTGGCGCTTCGCCTTTCATCCCCGCCCCTCGAGAGCTTGTAATTGTGATTGCTGGCGGCGTGACATACGAGGAAGCCAAATGCATATCTGCCATCAACAGGGAGAAGAACGCATTCATCCCTCCTGAGGGTTCCACAACAGCGTCAGCAGCGGCAGCAGCTCATCAGCTGAAAGCCCAAATCATTCTCGTTGGGAGCTGTGTACACAATTCCACTTCCTTCGCGGTTGAAATATTGCGCAATGCAACCGGCCAAAAAGTGCCGCACTTCGTGCGCCCAAGACGATAGAGGCTACAGTATTGTTCTTTGTGAACGTAGTTGGTATACATACCGTGCTGTACATATTTATGTAAAATGACTTGACTAATGCCCAAACAACATCAACATGTGTTGCATGCGGAACTGAACTCGTTTGTTAGAGGATTTGTTTTTGACAAGGTTGTGCATATTGTAATGGCAGCGAGAAGAGCATTGTGACGCGGAAATCGAAGTCCAGTTCTGTCACTGCCTATTTCCTTCTACTGCGTCAAGTTACTGTGTATTTTGGGCCACCTCCACCTTGTGGAACTGTCCATTCAATGTTTTGGGAGGGGTCCTTAATGTCGCATGCCTTACAATGCAGACAATTTTGAGCGTTGATTTGCAAAGCCATCTTGCCTGCTTCCTTCTCCACATATTCATACACTTTGGCAGGACAAAATCTACTCTCAGGAGCGTCATACAGCGGGAGGTTGAGCTTCTCCGGAACACTGTCGTCTTTTAGGACAAGATGACAGCGTTCATCATGGTCATGATCCGTGCCGCTCAATGATAGCGAAGTAAGGATATCGAAGGTAACCTTGCCATCCGGCTTTGGATATTCAATCTGTTTTGCTTCCCTCGCTGGTTTAGTCGCCAGATGGTCGGGATGACCATGCGAAATTGTCCAAGGAGAACGCCCACGTGTGACATACGACTCAAGAGCTGCATTCGCAAGGCCCGGTAACAGCCCATACTTGAAGCCGGGGCGGATATTTCTGACCACCGAGAGCTCATCCCAAACCCAAGACTGCCGCAAGCGCTCTTCGTACCCCTGAGCTGAGTCGCGCCCTTCCTTGAGGTTTTCAAACACCGCTTCTGCGGCCAACATACCACTTTTCTGGGCAGTATGGGTGCCCTTGATTTTCGGCACGTTCACGAAACCAGCAGCACACCCGATGAGAGCTCCGCCTTCAAACTCCAGCTTAGGAATGGACTGCAAACCACCCTCATTAAGCGTCCGTGCTCCATATTGCAAGACCTCGCCACCCTCTAGCAAAGGCCTCACGGACGGGTGAGCTTTGTATCTTTGAAATTCTTGAAATGGGGAGAGGTAGGGGTTTTCGTAGTCCAGGGCAACAACAAAGCCTATAGCGACCCTAGATTCTGTCATATGATATAGAAAAGACCCTCCGTATGTCTGTAAATCCATTGGATACCCAATTGAATGTACAATCTTCCCCGGCTCATGCTTGGCAGGGTCGACCTGCCAGACCTCTTTCAGCCCGAGCGCGTATGTTTGATGCTGTTTACCCTCCCTCAAGCCGAAGCGGCTCTCTACCGCTTTTGTCAGCGAGCCCCTCGCGCCCTCGGCCAGCAACGAAACGCGGCCGACGATTTCAATCCCCGGCTGATAATTTTCTTTCTTGGACCCGTCCTTCGCAATGCCGAAATCGTTGGTCGCTACACCCCTAACACTGCCATCCTCCTTGTACAACATCTCGCTTGCCGAAAAGCCAGGATAAACCTCCACGCCGGCTTCCTCCGCCTGCTCGGCGAGCCACCTAGTCATCTCTGACAGACTGATGATATAATTGCCATGATTTTTCATCTGCGGCGGAGTGGGCAACGGAAATTGCCTGTCCTCCGTGAGAAAAACGAAGCGGTCGTTCGCCGCCTGCACGCCAAGCGGGGCGGATTTGCGCCACTGCGGCAGCAGCTCGTCCATGGCGCGCGGCTCGAAGACGTTCCCGGAGAGGACGTGGGCGCCGACCTCGGCGGCCTTTTCCAGCACGCAGACGGAGAGGTCCTCGTCGGCTTGGTCAGCGAGCTGGCGGAGACGGATGGCGGCAGAGAGACCGGCCGGGCCCGCGCCCACGATGACAACGTCGTAGCTTAGCTGCTCGCGCGCCGGGGTGCAGAGACGGCGCGAGGGGAGACGCGTGCGCCGAAGGAGGTGGCGGGTGGCGCGCAGCATGGCAGGGCGTGGATCGGGACTGCGGCTGCAGTTGGGAGGGAGGTCTGAGGGAGGGGAGGGGTGGGCTGGGAGGGCGAGGTTGTGGCATCGAGGGCGGCCGGTTAAACAGCGGGAAGGCGGCGGAGGTCGGGTGACCGGAGATGTGAGATGTTGACTGGGACAAAAAATGGGATCAAAATGATGCGGTGGTTGCTGGGTTGCCATTGCTGGCGAGGCATTCTCTCAGGAAGGCTGTGCTGTACCCTTGAAGGGTACTAGTCGAAGAAATCATAACATGTACAGTAGATTGCACGAAAAGGAGCATCAACGAATCGCGACGTCCTTTCTGTCCTTAATCCCATCATCGATGCGATTGATTATGGCGGGGTTATCTGGTGCTGTGGATTGCATATGTAGACTTCTGGTGCAGTACATTCATACTTCAACCACCTCGTTGGCACTTGAATATTTAGCAAAACAAGCATCTCCTGCTTCTTTCACAACAGCTTCATGTTTCCACGCGTGGAGCGCAATGTGGCATGACGCGAACGGGTTTCCCATCACAAGTCTCGAAACGGGGGAATCTCCGCGCCATTTCAGTTTCATTTGCAGGTCCTACAGGCCCATTTTTTGCAAACAGACCTCTGGCAGTCACGACGTGGATCCCCACGTACGCAACACTGCAGAACGATATGCTTTGCTTAAACAGAGACCGCCTTCCATTGACCAGCCTCTCCAAACGGCACAAGCAACCCCGCTGAGAAAACGAGGTGGGGAAATGCTGCACAATCACATCAAAAGCCGGTGATGAAGCCGGTGATGAAGCCGGTGATGAAGCCGGTGGTGGCGAGTGTGCTCGAATCCAAAAACACAAAATTAATAATGAAAAAGATGCAATCGTTTTTTGTCACTGTGCCTCCAGGGTGTATCATACGTAACCGAATCTGGGAGATACACATCTCTCACCGATTAGATCAAAACCAACTAAAAACGGATATTCCTGTCGATGATACAGTGCTGCCACTCCGGGATGCGGATTCCCATGTAAATTACATGATACTGTACAGCACTGTCTCCAGCAACATTCATAGAATTGATTCCGGTCATCGACTGCCACCAGTCAGATACAGCCCCTGCACCAACTCACACCGGAGCGAGGAGCGACCACCGAAACAATTCTCTGCACTCGCTGGTGCAATGAATGAGACCGCACCAGAGCCTTGTGCGATTGACGCCTCGCTGGACGAGGCGCCGGGCCCATCTCAACAGCAACTTTCCATCCACCTCGCCACAGTCCTCAACCCGACCGCAGTGGAACCACTCGAGCTTTCGAAAATGGCCGACACGCCCGAAGACACGGCCGCAGAAGCCGATGTTCATCCGTATGGCAATCCCCTTCCGCCCGGAAGTGAACAAGCTCCAGCCGCGGCTACCTCTGCTACGCCGACAAGCTACCGACTTCAACGTGTTCCCGACGCACCTCAGTCCTCCACTAGAGCTCCGGAGCCTTCACAGGTAGCTAGAGATAATATTTTTACAGCAACACGCCCCACTGCACCGCATCGTCAAGTCCTGATCAGAGAAGTAATCGATCTCACCGAGTCTCCCAGCAACCACACCCATCCTTCATTAGAATCGCATCAAGTCCAGGAGAGCGCTTCACCTAACATTGTACCCGGCCCGGACCGAAATCATCGGGATGCGGGGCCAATTGTCATCGACGACAGCCCTCTGGAAAAGTCGGAGCCCGTCTTCGTCAACAGAGTTGGACCACCACCGTCCCAGCAAGCAGAATTGAGCCCACTTGCAAAGACTGAGCAAGTGCGTATCCTCCGCCTCGACGAAAAGCCCCCTCCGCTGACATCTCCCTCCAAAAAGATTGGTCAAGTGGATCATTCTGGTCAGCCGCAAGCAGTTGATGGCGCCAGTGATGAAAGACACAGGGGTGAGTCCGACGGTGGACGTCCGCCATGCCCGTCACTATGGAAACATGTGCCTCCAGTCGAGGCTATAGTAGGTTTGCCTCCTGCTCAGAAGGGCGGTCTCGCCGAGGTCGTTCCCTCACTTCATCAGGTGAATGGGAAGGACTCGCCCGTGGCCGTCTGCTCACTTGCACCCGGTGTGCCATCACCGAGCAGAGTAAATCCGTCCGACAACCCGTCGCCCAAACTGACCGTTCGGCAACTCGTGTCTAATTCAGAAGAAGGAAATGGGTGGAAGCGAGGTGCCGCGTCACCCTCATGGGGTTCCCATGACAAGATGCCACAACGCGACGCTTCACAACCTGTATGTGAAGTGAAAGCTTCACCGATTGAGCCAACAAGGGCCTCTTTGGTAAAAGAAGAGCCTTTAAAAATGGCTGAGAAGCAAGCCGATGCAGAAACATTGGGAGAGTGCCAGCCTCTGATGAATGTATGTACCTTTCAACAACTCCAGTCGAGCATGACCTCAATCGGCCACTCTCCTGAATCGAGCTCAACGCCCTCCAAGGAGATAAGACTTAACAGTATCAAAAAAGAGGAGCAAGAGCTGCAATTGCATAGCGTGCGCGATAGTTTGGCTAAGTCCGAAGATGTCATATTTATTGACACACCGATACAGACTTCTGCACCCAGTGTTAAAGCCAAACATCCTGGGGTGGGACACAAACATGGATTACTACCGTCCATTTGTCCAACTCGCCAAGCCGAGGAGCGTTTTGGTATATCGGCAATCAGACTTCAGAATTCAGTTCCAGAATCCTCTGGGCAACACGCGTCCTCAAAGAGGTCAAAAACGGAACCCACTGTGGAAGTGAAGAGGGAAGCTAGCACTTGCGAGCCGACTTTGTCCGTGGCACAAACCGAAAAAGGTGAGAAGCTCCTCGATCACACGGGCGTTATGCATCGGAGTGGCGATGCAAAGAGTGAGATCAAAAATATGGTAAACCCGATGGACGCTGTGGAAGTAGCGAGGGAGACTTGCAAATGGGAGCCCAATCTAGTGGTACCGGGGTCTCATTACGGTGAGATGCACTCCGCTTGCAAGACCCCTCAGCGGGAAGCGAATGAAGTGAATGGTGATGTTGATGGGATCCCTGATACAGCTGCGCCTCGGATCGCGCCCGAATCTCTACATTCGAAGCCGGCATCGCCATCCACTTTGCCAAAGCCTGTATCTGACTGCGTTTCCGCTGAGGAGGAGCGTTGCGATCAGCCCTCGCAGTTATCGAAACAGGGAGAGTATCGCACGGCGGATTCCGGTTGCCCCTCAGAGAAGGAGGGGAGGAAGCGTGTGCCGGGTCCTTTATCTTTGACTGAAGTACTTGTATGTGATATAAGGAGCGAAAAGGCCGCAATTTTGGATCCACCGATGTCGAATAAGCCAACGGCTTGTTCAAAGCGAAAGAGGCCTGACTCGTTGACAGAATTCCCGCATACGTTAAACTTGAAGAGGCGAGCAATGCCGGCATTGTCGAACTTGCGGCCTCAAACCACAGTTTTCGATGCACTGACAAAACATAAGAGACTTACAGTCTCGACTGCGGGACCATCCCAACAAACCCCGACCCGGGCGATATGCAACCCACGAGGTTCTATTTCGGGTATCCTTCCTTTCCATACGCAACGACGCACTGCTCGGGTGTCGACAGTGCTACCCACCGTTGCACCTACGCCTGCTGTGATGCCTTCATCAGTACCATCTCCGACATTATCCGCGTTTCCCGTTCCAATGTCGTCTCCCACTGTTCCTCTCGTGACTGCTGCGGCGATATCTTCATGTCCACTTGTGGCTTCCTCTGTGAGTGTTGATCGGCCTGTGCCATCTGTACCGATGCCGAACATGGGCCAAAACTGTATCGCAGCCCCAGTACCACATGCACCGGGCTTATATACGAGAGCTCCGCCCATCTCTCCATTAGTTGCTCCTGCTTCACGGGGCCCAATCGGTCTCAGTGGCCGAACTTTACATCAGCAAGTACCGGAACTCTCAACTAGTTACCCGCAAATTTCAACGGAATCTCCCCCCAGCCCAGCAACATACCCTTCACAGCCAATTTCACCCACTCACAACGCAATCTTGCAGTTAGGCTCAAATCAAAAGAGAACGCCGCCTCTTTCGTGTGATGAACGCGTGATAACGCAGCAGGACAACCCTGCTGCGGCGAGAGAAGTGCACGGGACTCCTTCAGAACGGGTCAATTCGACTGCAGCCGCGAGCTCTGTGCAACCTGCTCGGATCGAAAGCAGCTACTTGGCATGCCAAGTACAACCAGCTCCACGCGCTGCTTTTCCGAATACATACGGTCTGATAGGCAGAGGGCGAGAACCTGTGCCACAGAGAAGGTGCCACAAGTGTGAAGCCCGTAGCTCCTCGATTTGGCGCACGGGTCCAGACGGTTACCAGACGTTGTGTAACTCCTGCGGTCTCCAATACGAATACCACGACATGGTTGTTTATGCTGACAGTAAGACACATCGAGTATCGGCAGCCCCATTTCCGGGGGCACGTCGATCCCGAGTAATAGGCTTCCGCAGGCGGGGATGCTACACGGACGAACCGTTAGAGATGCATGGGGCATGGATTGGGAGCCGTCGACCTTCTCGTCAGCTGGACAAACCTATTGTGATCCCTTTACATTATCCGGAAGAGCAGGGGGATGATGCCACTGGTACAAACTCTGGCATGGTCATTGGCCTGGCTAACGGTTCAAATGACAAAACTCCTGCGCAAAATCTGAAAGCAAATGATTCTCAACTCCTATCTCCAGTTGGTCAGAGGGCTCGGCCTTGTGTAGACCCCCTCCCTGGTTCAGAGACGGAGTTGGTGCTCGGCCCCGGTCCGTCAAGCGCTTCTGGCAACACAACTTGTCGAATGTCGTCGGATCCAACGCCAAGAACGGAAGCAGAAGGATCTAAAAGAAGTCTGGAAAAGCCGCAAGAGTTGCAAGATGTGGTACCGGACAAAAGTGAAGCGCCTGTCCCGTTTTCTCGTTTTATTCGGAAGCGTTTGAACACAGCAATAGTAGCAGACAGAAACGCTTCAACCACACCATGTCAGTCCGAAATGGACGAAGAGGACGTGGCCATTGATGTTGATGCACTTAGTTCTGATTCGAAGGTCATTGACGTGGATGCAATTGAAAGCGGTACAGTAGACGCTGATGCAATCGACGTAGAAGGTGAAAGTGAAGCAATCACTGCAGATGGATTTGAGCGCATTAGTGAGGGCGAACCATTGAAAAGCAGGCCATTTTTGGGGCGCAGAGGGTACGACTACAGCTTTTGCACCCTTGTCGGTAAACGTCCAACACCTGATGGGGATGAATCTCGAAGAGGTGCTCGGTGTAACAAAAGACAAGCTCTTAGTGGCCGCAATGGCGCCCTGAGTGACAAAGTTGGAAGGAGCGCCGGTGCGGGCATTACTTTGCCGTTCACACCTGTGCCGGAACGGCAAAGAACTGGCTTAAGAGGTGATAAAAGGAACAGCCAACACAAGAGGGACGGTACAAGGGATAGTAGCAGAGCGGTAATGCATGGCAGCAAGGAAGCATTGCGGAAAGTTTCAGATTCTGTGTTTGAAGACGAGGAGGAAGAGCTGGGGTCTCCATGCAGTACAAACAAGGATTGGAACAAGAAGCGCGCAGATGCAAGGAGGCATTTGCCAGACATAGAAAGGGTAGGGTCGCAAAGCAAGAGAAGTGCGGATGAGAGAGCCGATGGGATGTCTAGCTTATATGCGGTCAAAGCTGAGTACAGGCGGGAGATACATCGGTTGACGATCTCCCGGAGCGCTTCCTTCTTAGAATTGCGGAGAAAGATGGAAGAAGTTTTCCAATTAAGCGAGAAGGTTTGCCTTGCATACCGAGATAATGAGGATGACTATATTACGATTTCGACGGAGTCGGATATGCGGGAACTATTTGGACTGGCGGACAAGTACTCTCTGAATCCGATTAGAGTGCGATTGGTCGAAAGGATTGAGAAGCGGTAGAACGAGTTTTCCCTGAACGACAATGGTGACGGAGTTGATGATGGGATGGAATGGAAACATGTTTCGAGGGACTATCCGAGGCGACGTGTCGCGCCCGCATTCGCTGTTACCAAAAGAGCACTCTCAATTTCCCAAACCTCAGCCAACCGGAACGCCGCCCGCCTCCATAGCAAGAACCTTCGGCTCACCCATTATAATTATAAATTATAAATGGTGAAATCTGTCCCGCCCCATCCCCCGCATCCCCCCCATCCCACCTGCCACCTGCTCTCACTTACCTCCACCTCCATCTCACGGAACGGCACCCATGTCCTCCCCCCCAACCTCGCCGGACGGCCTAACCACGGCCCTGGCCATCGAGACCAAGCCATTCCTCACGAATCCCACCCGTCCGCAACACCCCAAGCGCTGTCTGCGCCCCATCTGCCGCGCCACCGAGACGAACCAATGGTGCACGTCGCCTGACGGCCGCAACACACTGTGCCACAGATGCTATGCACTCTACCTCGCCATGAAGCTCCCGCTGTTCCGGCACCCCCTCACCTCGCGTCTCTCCATCCTGCGGTCACCTGACGCCTGCCCCGTCCGCGTCACGGGGTTCGCCGTGCGTCACCGCGCCCGACCCACCGAGTACCGCCGCCCGCGCCGAAACGCCGCAAAGCCATTCGTCGTCCCACTTACTGACTGCCCCCGAGACCGCGAACTGCTCCGCATGACCGACGTCGCGCCCAACGTGGGCCGCCGCGGCCCCGTGCGCACAGCCGCCGTGTACTCTCCAATCAGCAAACGCCCCGCGAGGCACACACGCCCGGGCTCGACCAGGATTTTGCCACGAGCCGCCAAACTCATCCCAGTCCGCAAGTCCTCCCCAGCGGACCCCTTCAATTTCGGCCGGGCGGACACCATTCGACGCGCCGCCAACCTCAACCGAGTCGACAAGTCTGCCACAGCAGACCCTTTCGGTATTGGTCAGTTGGACGACACACCGTCGCCGAACACCGTCTCTAATTCAGACGCTAGCTACGCCCTCTCTGCGTCCAGAGATACGGAGGACAGGGAGCCAGACGTCCAGCTCGTTTCGGAGGACGACGACGACGCACACGACGGCTGGCTTTCCGTCCCGCGCATGCGTCACAGCCGTCCCGCTGTCCGGTTGGTACGCTCACAATTGACCCGCCCGGACGGCCCTTCGCTGCGGAGGGGGGAGTCTGATCGCCATCTCTCGGTTACTAATCGTCTGTTTCGGAGAGCCATCAAGGGCCATTTGCCGGAGAAGGATCCCCCCGCGGCCCACCAGTTGGCCCGCCCACACGATTTCATTCGGAACCAGCCCAGGCCGAAGCGGAAAACGCCGACTAGGGTGTACATGAAGGTTTCGCTATCGGAGCAAATCAGGCGCCAGGAGTCAACGGACCAGTTGCCCGACGACCATTTGAGTCACGAAGAAATGCCGTATGCATCTCGTAAGCAGGCAGCGCGCGGGCACCGGAGTTGTCCGCTGCCCTCCAATCGGAAGTCGAGCAATCTAGTCGCGCAGTCGTTGCCGCCCTTCAAAGGCGGCGCCTCTCGTACAAAAACGCCTGCTGGCTGCGAAAAGGAAAGTGGCGGATCACTGATCGGAGTGAAGGCAGAGTTTAACGGAGATATCCGCCGTTTGCGAATTCTACCGGATGCCTCTCGTGCGTCGTTCATGAGTCAGTTGCAGACGCTTTTCGAGGTTCCGGAAATACTTGTGCTCAAGTATTTGGATGAAGAAGACGATTTTGTCACGGTCGCCAACGAAACGGATATGACAGAGATGATATATATGGTGAGAGAACACAACCTCTCACCGCTCCGGGTGCACTTGCAAGTAGAGCGCACGGAATGTGCCAGAGCGGTTGCGTAAGCAGACCATTTCGCTTCCATGGTATTGTAACTTTTTCGGTACAATATTGCCACTGGAGAAACTCTTTGCTCTGCCAAGTGTTCAATGCTGTACAAGCCTGCGCCCCTCGCTTCAATCACACAATCTTCATGACTTTAAGGCCTATTGCATCGGGTGGACAACTAAATTGTTGCAATTAAAGCATCTTTTCGATTGCTTTCCGCCCTGTAGCACCACCACCATTATTCATAAAGCCATGAAGATATGGATTTGGCGTACTGTGGTTGTTTTAGTTCAGGACAAGTGGGCTCCGTGCGCGCTTTGCGCGCCGAGCCAAGAAAGCGTGGAGGAACACTATTTGGGAAGGGTGGCAATGAAAAGATGTAAAGACAATGGCGTTTACTTTTTTTGGTAACTACTGAAGGACCTCGGGGTACACTATGTTTCGCGTTGTTTCATTGGACTCTCGAGTGAGGACAGTGACGTTCCCTGGGTGAGTAGTCCTTGATAGTGCGACGTAGAGTTGACCGTGCGAGAAGCAGTAATCTCGCAAGTCGAGACCAATGCGGCCACCGAAGGATTGGCCTTGCGCTTTGTTCGTTGTAAGGGCGAAGCACGTGCGAATGGGGAACTGCGTTCGGGTGAAGCCAGGGATGGGAAAGTTGTCGTCTCCTGGTCCGCAGGGCATTCGAGGAAGAAACAGTCTGTTGCCTTGGTGTGACCCGGTGGTAACGCGTAAAAAGAGCAGGTTTTTGGTCATGTTCTCGATGACATATCGCGCGCCGTTGACGTGACCGGTAGCGGGATCGAGATTGCGCAGAAGCATGACGATGAAGCCTTTCTTGAGCTTGAGCTTGTGGTCTGGTAGAGCAGATCCGGCGGTCAAGGTGTTGAGCATTTCTGTGGGATAGATTAGCGCGTTGGTGTCTTCGTTCTCGACCTTGTCTGCGATCAAATAAGTTCGACACGGTCCCGGAATCATGTTGCCGATGACCTCGTTGACTTCGTCGAGCGGCCTGTTCTTTGTGGTGAGTATAACGCGCTTAGTGAGCCAGGCAGGGTCGGCGTGATTGTCTCGAACCCCTTGGAAGACCTTGAGGCATAAATTGCGGATGGTATGCTTGAACGCAACGGACTGTGGTAGTGAGATCCATTCCGGGCGCTGTTCGCCGTTAAGTCTGCCTTCCCCGACGCTGAGGAGGAACTCTGGAAAGTTGAGAGCCTCCACATCTGCTGCAGGGTCCGCTCAGAGAGCAGCAAGGCCCATGTTCTCGGTAAGGCGCAGGAATCGGCACTCTCGATACAGCGGGGAAGCCTTGACGCACGCGCTCACGATTTGACCTCGGGACCCGCCCGGAACGACGGGAAGGATTTGTCTAAAGTCTCCAGCGAGCACGAAGAACTTTCCTCCGAAGGGCCGGTCGGTTTGCATCAAGTCGCGAGGGGAGCGATCTACAGTCTCAATGCAATGTCGATGGCACATGACGATCTCGTCCCATATGATGAGATCGACTTGTTGCAGTGTACGACCAGTGTCGGAGTTTGCGGAGAAGCTGCACGTGCTTTCGGCAGATACAGGAATGGGAACCTTGAACACGGAATGAGCGGTGCCTCCACCGTCGAGCAACACAGCAGCAACAGCAGACGTAGCGACAGCGATGACTTGCTTACGGCGCGTACGAAGGAAGTCTTGAATGGCGCTGAGCACGAATGTTTTGCCTGTTCCGCCAGGAGCATCGAGGAAGAAGAGACGACCACTTCTTGTCGGCATAGAAGGTCCCGCCACGGCGCTTGAGGATCCTTGAAGCAATGCAGAGACGGATACGCCTGGAAGCATGGAGCCCACTATTTCGTCAAAGGCATGGCGTTGATTTGTGTTCAACAGCGGCAACGACGTCTGTAGTCGCTCTTCCCACTGCTGCGCTCTTGCTTCGTGGGTCTCGATCTCGTTTTGCTGTTCCAAAGCGGGAAGGATGTCATCGGGCAGTGGGAGTCCGAAGTTTGCGAGCGTCCAGTCGGAACGCACGGTCAGCAGGGCCTCCTGCACCTCTCGAAGCACGTAAGATGTGGCGTGGTGATCATCGCGAAGCTGCTGTCTTCGAATGGGTTGTCCGCGTGCACGATTGCGAATATCGGTGAGAAACATGCCCAGGTGGTCGTTCCACAGCGAGAGAGGGTCCGAAGGCTGGCAGTGTGCCAGAATCGTAGCAAACAGATGAGAAAGAGGAACGAAGCTTGGCCGGAATGAATCCCTCTTGCAAGGCTCTTCCCGCCGGGGTCGCTAAGTACGCGCGCTCCCTTTTCCCTCAGTGCGGTGGTTAGGTTTCCCAAGCCCTAACGGCACCTACACTGGGTCTTCTTGCAGCCTATATAGTTTGACGGAGGCTGCGTTTGATCTTCGTTGTCGACGTTGAAAACAACGTCAGTCCGACGTCCGCAGATTGCTCTGCGGAGACCGTTGTTCCGAGCCCGATACTACAACACCAAGAAATGGTGCGCTATCGGATTAGGCTTCCTGCACAGCGGCAGACTACCACGCTTTACTAAAAGCAAAGCGCAATAGCACCTAGGGACTATCGGGATGCCGTCCAGCAATCCGGTAAACTTTTCGCGGGGAATGCCGTATTCAACCCACTAATAAGCCGGCATAGAATCACGATCGCTGCCTTGCCCAGATTCTGGTCACCACGCTACCAGGGAGCCGTCACGTGGTGAAAATTTGCTGAAGGTCGTTGAACTCGAAAGCCGGTACTGTGCTGCCGACGTGCCGCTATGTAAAAAACGTTTCTATTCGTGCGCGCTTTCGCCTCACCGCCACTTGTCACCAGGGGCGCCGCCACGTGTCGCCACTTGTCACCGACACGCTACTGTAGTGCCGCATTGGTGTAACAGTTCGAAATTCAAAGTAAAACTAATTTTACCGCCACGTGTCGCCACTTGTCACCGGCACGCTACTGTAGTGCCGCATTGGTGTAACAGTTCGAAATTCAAAGTAAAATTAATTTTACCGCCACGTGTCGCCACTTGTCACGCCACGTGTCCCCGTGGCGGCCTGGCCTGCGAAAAACCGCCACGTGTCGCCACTTGTCACGCCACGTGTCCCCGTGGCGGCCTGGCCTGCGAAAAACCGCCACGTGTCGCCACTTGTCACTCGGGGCGGCCTGGCCGCAGGCCAGGGCGCCCCGCACGTGCCCGCCACTTGTCACCGCGCCGCCGCCCCCGTGCGCCAATGGCAACGCGGGAGCGCAAGGACATACAGACAGACACACAGACACGGATTTTAGTAGTTGTGGACTCATAATCACCGCATCAGGCAGATCGTTGTTTTACCTGCGCTGATAATTACATTGGGAAACACCCAATGCTAGCTGCAATGATCTTATATATATACAGTACCGTTCTCACTGGTCTAATTCTGGAAAAGGGTCAATTCTGGACAATATATTTTTGAGTACCCCGCCTTCGAACCTCTTTATCTCTCTCACACACCCCTCCCCTATCCTTCAATGCCTACCGCCCCTCTCCCAACTCCCCCATGCTTCCGTAGACAGTGCTCCTGATCGGTGGTGCGAACATGCCGAGCTCCATGCGCGCTCAAACTATCGCACATAACAAAAGGATTGCTAAAAGAAAAGATGAGCGTATCAGACGGGAAAAAGCATTACAGCTCCTGCAGCGCGGCATCTCTCCAAGGGAAGTGTCCACCCAAAGTGGTGTCACTCGCACGACAGTGTATAATATTCGAAAGGCTATCATAGATGGGGACACGCAACAGCTCGCAAAACTGCTCGATCCGGAAAAACACTTCGTAGGCCGTCGCACAGTTCTCACAAGTGCTGAGCAGAGTCTTGTCGTTCACAAGACTCTCGAAGCAGCTGAGAAAGGTTTTGCTGTTGACTGTTCTCTAATGAAGAGCATTCAGGGCAAGATAGCGGCAGGAAGAGAAAATGCATTCTCTAACCGCGACCCATCCTCCGACGCCATACGCTCATTCAGATCACGACATAGATAATTGGCCTATAGGGCATCCCAGAACGTTTCCATGACAAGGCTAGCCGCAGAGAATCCAACACATATGGGCAGTCTGAAGGAAGTTATTTTGAAACTTCAGAAAGAGTTCCCAGAGGTCCTCAGAGACCCTCACAAAATATGGAACTGGGATGAAACCGCTGTATGCGGTGAGTACGGTCGTAAAGTCAAGTGCTTCATCTCGTCCAGCAGCAAGCAGGGCGGTGCACGCTTGGGCATTAGGGATCCCGGTAAGCACTTGACGGCAGGACTTGCTGTCGCAGCATGTGGCAACATAGCGCCCCTTTTTGATAGCCTCTGGTAAGAAAGTCATGAAATCATGGCGTAAGCCTCTCGATAGGGAGGACTTCACTAATACGAATGGTGTAGTACACTGGTTGTGCAACGAAAAATGGTTTCCTCATGACGCAGAGCTTGTTGTTACACCACACGGCTCAATCGACAAAGCCGTAATTGTCAAAGCTGTTCATCATATCAATCGACATGCGCGAAAAACAATACCACCCCATGAGCATATCCTTCTCCTATTAGACGGACACAGTTCTAGACAGGGCGATGTATAGCTCGAAGAATGCGAGAAGCTTGGAATTTTGGTGGTCAAGTTGCCTGCTAATACAACCCATCTGTTGCAGCCGTGCGACCAGTCTGTGAATAGAATTTTTCAAAAAACGGTTCGGTCTACACGGGATGAGCTCCTGATGATCAGCCACATGACGTGGGCAAACTCTGCTTTTAAGATAAAGCTCGCTGTGGCGGGTTATCGCGCGTTGACTCCAGAGATTGCCAGGAAGGCATTTTATGAGTCTGGATTATGGCCAGTGGATTTTAGGTTTCTTGACCGAATTGCGCCTCGTCAGGCCAGTGATAACCTCAAAGGACCTTTGTGCAGTAGTGTGAACACACGAAGTAGTCGGGCAGTTCGTGATTCTCATTTGGGAGAGGTTAGAAATGAGTCGCGCGCCTTTCTAGACAGAATTCGACAATTATCAAACGGCCCTGGCTCGGCCAGTAATACACTACCAGAGATACAGGTACGTTTGAACGATGAGTTCAATGTCAAAAGTTTGCTTGATGCGCAGGTCTCTCCACCCAAGCTTGCAAAGACTTCACAACGTGGTCGTAAAGTCAATGCACCCATGGCCGGAGCACAGCGTCTTCAAGCAAGGTCAGAAAAAGGGACCCCAAAGCGAAGACTTTAGAGTGTCTTCAATTCTGAAAACGCCATTGAACAGAGCACCCCGATACCTATCACAGAGACCACATTTGAAGGGAACAAAGAAACCGTTGTCCAGGTGAGGACGGTGTTTTCGCGCAAAGGCTGATTGACTTAAAGGGAGACGTTCTGGATGATATTCCAATTGCGTCATGGCGCCCAAGTCCGAAGAAGTGGCAATATCGGCGGGCAAGGGTGTGTTGAAGACGAGAGAACGGAAGTGGCAGCCTCAGGCCTCGTCGGTTTGTCTCACTATCGATAAGAGTGCTCAACTCCCTGTCCAGAATTGACCCCTTTTCCCATTTTCCGTCTGTTGACGAGCTCAGGAATGGCAAAAAAAACCTTGGTCTGACTGGTAAAAACGTTGATTTTTGCATTTCTGGAAAGTGTCCAGAATTAAACCAATGAGAACGGTACAGTATATATACGGAAGGGGAGGAACCTGTGATCCGAAAGCTGTCGGTTGTTTCACGAGATGCGTTTCAGGGCAATTCAATGCGTGCGGTGTTTTGCGTCGCCAAGCACTGTCCCTGTTCCCAAATAACCCTCCGAATGGCGTGTGATCTTCACCAATCGTTACGTAGGCATGAGTTGTGGAGCACTTTCAAGGCACGAACTAATAGCCTGGCAGGATGACAAACTCGGAATAGCCAAGATCTTTCGCTAGCTAAGCCACACAGATTAAGTACTAATAAATACGACGACATTGGCAACGTGCTTTATAATAGTGTATAGCCAAACTGTGCTTCTTCGTGTAACTGTTTTCGCGCCTCCATATTTCCTTGGTGTCGTTTCATAGCACTGTAACATGGTCGTCTCTTGTCCTCCAGTTTCGCAATTCTCTTTTGTTTGTCTCAATATTCTGCACGTCTATCGCTGTGTTAATGGCCTTCTGAAAAGATACTGATATCGTCAAAAGGTTTTTGCGAATTTAGAGTTGGACAGCGGCTCTTGAATACAATTGCTGGTGCAAAGGAATTTTAAGGTTTCGCTCTGGCAGCGACGAAGATTTGCTACAGTATCGTTCTGGCGAATTCATCTGAAGAGTCTGAAGGGAGGTATTATCTTTACTGCTACTGAAGGTCGTTTGGAATGAAGAAGCGACCAGCCTGGAACACCACAGAGCAGAGTGAATATTGTGGTTCCGTGAACTCCGATACCCCCCGATCCCCGAAGGAGCGGGTGGCCGTCGGAGACTTTATTGCGTCGCGACTACTTGGTCTTCCGGCTACATATTGACTATTATAAAAAATACTTAGACAGCGCAGAAGGGGTAGTTTTTCAAGAATAGCTAATTGCACTTCGAAAAAATCCATATGCGCAAAGACGCGGCACTTCGCCAAACAGAACGGAATTATGAAACAGTAAAGCCTTTTTCGATATGATATCTTTTTACGCAGATACGTCCTTACAAAGACACCGCCTAATACATACTAGGCCTTTTCGACAAATACGTGCATACTGTAGAGATAATGATCGAATCACTATGAATCCTTGCCATCACGAAACAAACCTTCTCTTTGCGTAAAGACTGAGATGTTGCGCAAAAGAGTACCCGTTATCATAAATCATATCGAAATGCAGATATTCAATTTTTTTACTGAACCCCGCCCTTTTGCGTATGACAGCGACAACAACAATCAAGATACATACAGTACTCAATTCACATAGCAATTACACACCTATCGAGCAAACACTCACCAGCACCCTGCTCAACTGCCTTCCGTTTCACAGTTCCTCTCTTCAATATGCCGAGATCCCCCATCCGTTCAGGGGCTCGTGTTACTTCTGCAAATGATGCTTTCGCAGAGAACATTGACGCAAACAATGCCTTGAGGCTACTCGCCGACGCCGCCGTTGAGCGCGAGGCAATCATAGATGAATATGGCATCGACGCCCTAAAA